ACAACCATATCGCAGACTGAGCGCGCTAACCACTACGTCATTGAGCTCCGTAATATGTTGATATATTATTATTATTCACTCTATTTGATTTCATCCATAGTGAAGACCTGAGTCCCTGATGATGATGATTATGGAAATTCGAAACATCAAAGGTAGCATAACACCCAGACCCAAAACGAAGAAAATATAGAAAAGTTATGTTAGTTTTTTCTACATTGATAGTTAGGTATGTAGGTAAACGTAGAAGTATCTTCAGAAAGAGTCGAAACCAGGATTCGCTTGTATCTGTATGTCTCCTAAGAAGACTAGCATTCATTAGGTTTCCAATGTTATTTCTAATTCTTCTCGAGGTTCGACGGCCGACGTAGCCAAGGGGCTCGCACGCTTGTTTCAAAGTGTCGTGCCGACACCTTGAAACCAACGTGCGGTGCGTCGGCACCTCTGAAATTCCGGGTTCGATTTCCGGTCAGTCCAATATAGAAAATAAACGTTTCTTTATTGTTTTGGGTCCGGGTGCGCTGGTACTTCGTTGTTCCAGATTTCCATAAAGCGTCAGTTTGCGTTGCGTCGCGGATAAGTAAATTTTTAACTGAAACGCCTCGCAATATCAATCTTGCGTTTAGAGAGTACACTGAAAATAAATGCATCGTACGTTTTTCGTTTAAACGCTTTAACAATGGAACACTTCGACTTAAGGTCCACTTGTACTTTCGCTTACGCTCCCATACAAATACGGAAATAAATACACATCGAGAGTAAAGACGCGTTCGCTTGATTTTATAAAATTTAATAATAAAAAAAACAAATGCATTTATATTTTTCTGATCAGAAGAATATATCGAAACCTATTTTTGTATAGAAGTGGCACACAGAGCTATTTTAGAAGTTACGACATTTAAATCAATACTATATCCCACCACCCTAAAACTATATAAATTAATAAGCAATCGCCGGAAAAATTAAAGTCAGGTGGACTTTGCCAAAACCAACCTTTTCCTTACATTTTAGATGCCAAAAAGTCTTAGGTTTACTTTTACATAATAAGGCTTACGATGAAACGAAGGCATTGTTAACTATTGCTTAAGTAATACGGTTGCATTAAAATAAATTTTATATTAAATACTTAATATTAGTTATTTATTTATTGCATTGCAAATAAGTACCTCGGTGGCGTAGTGGATAAGCGCCGCGGCCCGCGGTCGTTGTCGTTAAGCAACTTTCGCAAGGGTCGGTCACGGGATGGGTGACCAAAAATTATTATCTCGAGCTACTGCATGCTTCGGAAGGCACGTTAAGCCGTTGGTCCCGGCTGCATTTGCAGTCGTCAATACCCTCCAATCCGCATTGGGCCAGCGTGGAGGGTCATGGCCCATACTCCTTAGCCATCCATAAGGAAGGCCTGAGCCCCTGCAGTGGGGACGTAAAAGGGCTGATGATGATGATGATGATGATTTATTGCAAATGAGCGAAGTTCACTCATAACTATTAGTCATACCTATTAATAATGTAATTTTCTATTTATACTAAACACATGTTGTTTACCAACCTTTCTAGAAGGTACCCGCTAATATAAATCTTATTAAGAATACCTATGTAACGTGTACCTATAATGTATTGTACCAATCTATAAATTATACATATAAATGAAACACCAAAATGTATGTCCTACGCGCATAACTTTCAAACGAATGCATCAAATTGAATTATTCTTTTTTTATGTGTTCCATAAGGTCAGGATAGGGTTTGTTTATAAGAAAATTTATAATAAGATATAATTTATAAAAAACAGGTATATGCCGGTACGAATTTAACCGGGTCAGCTGTGTGTGTAAGATGAAAATAAAGATATTATTAAATTATTTTTTTATATATTTTTTATATACTTAAGGTGGAATATTAATAATGCATGGAATGAATAGCCTTCGCTTTGTTCTATAACGACTAATTATATGTACAAACTATGACTTACAGACTTTGAAAGTTGTGTTTATTATTGGGATAATACATATTATTTTGGTAATGACATGATTTTGTAAATGACATTACTTATGATAAAGAGCTGGTAAGTTTCTTTCGCTTGTTCTTCTTGTCAGCTAAAAGACGTCCTGGACAAGTGGTAGGGGAAAAAAAATTTTGGACGATTCAAAAGTGCTTGTAAAAAAGCTTGCTTGAATAAAGATATTTTCATTTCATTTAAAATATACTAGAGGTAAAATTGATTCAATCTTTGCGATTTTAAGGGTTCCGTGCCTTGAAAGGAAAAAACGGAACCCTTATATGATCATTTTGTTGCCCGTCTGTCAACATCCTTATTCTCAGGAACACGTGAAGGTAGCTGTATCTAGCTGTAATTTATAACAAATACTACTGTTCTACTGTCCCTTGGAGCTGTAAAAAAATCAAACTTCTAAGCCATCGCAATCAAAAGATACAGCCAGCCGTTTATGCCGCAAATTTTCAAAACTCGCAAGGGAATCAAAACTTTCAAGAAACTTCCCGAGAACTCAGAATCTTTAAAATTTGGTACAAAGCCTTATAGCACAAATAAAGGAAAAATTGCGAAAACCGTAAATTTTTTGTTACATCATAAAACAAAAATAAATTTAATAATTTTAAAGTTACTCCTCTTTTCCTCATGAACGCGTAGAGGTATTAAATTAAAATTCATATCAAATACTTAGGTTTAATAATTTAAATTAAGCTGTAACAAAATCAAACATCTATGTCAACGCAATAAAAAAATTACAATATTTTCAAACTCGCAACTGCTCGCAAGGGAATCAAAACGTAAAGGGTACTTGGAGTAGAGCTAGAAATTTTGAGCTTTGGTATAAAGCAATGTTTAATAGCACATATAAAAGGAAAAAAGTAAATTTTTAGCTAAATCACACATATACGAGGGTGGATTCAAAAGTTCGCGGCCACAGCAAGAAAACAATATAAAATATAAGCAAAAGTAATTTTATTTTTCCACGTAATCTCCACTTAACTCTATGCACTTCTTCCATCTGGTTTCCAACGCCTGTATGCCGGCCATAAAAAAAATGTCTTCAAAGCCTTCAACAAAGTCACCCGCGGTAGCTTCGACCTCCTTATTTGATGAAAATTTTTGACCTCCAAGGTGTTTTTTTAGGTTTGGGAATAAATGAAAGTCTGAAGGTGCCAAATCAGGGGAATAGGCGGGATGGGGCAGTAATTCAAAGCCACAATCACGAATTTGAGCCATAGATTCAACAGACGTGTGAACGCGTGCATTATCCTGATGGAACAACACTTTCTTGCTGGGTAATCCAGGCCTTTTCTCTTTGATTGGTTCGCTCAAGCGACGTAAGAGGGTGCAATAATAAGCCGAGTTTATAGTTCCACCATTTGCAAGGTAGTCCACCATGATGAAACCCTTAGCATCCCAAAAAACTGACGCCATTACCTTGCCAATTAACAAAATTGTTTTGGCTTTTTTTGGAGTCGGTTCATCACGTTTTTCCACTGCTTGGATTGCTGTTTTGACTCTGGGGTGTAGCGGTGTACCCAAGTTTCATCGATTATTACAAATCTGGATAAAAAACTTGTGGATCAGCCTCAAACAATTCCAAACAGTCGCGAGAAATCGTATTCATTTTTGTTCGAATGAAAGCAATCTGGGTTAGAAAATCCAAGTTCATTGACTAAGATGTTTTGTGTTCGTTCATACGAGATGCCAATAGTGTCTGCAATCTCCCTGATGGTCAATCTCCGATCTGTCAATATCAGATCACAGATTTTCCCGTTTTCGGTTTTCTTCAGTCGTAGACGTCATAAGCCGGCCAGACCGAGGATCATCTTCAATACTCTCTCGTCCGCGTTTAAATTCAGCAACCCGCTTTTTCATCGTATACGACGGAGCAGATTCCCTCAATGTTGTTGACATATCTTTGTGAATCTCTTTTGGAGTTAGTTTTTTTTAAACAGGTATTTGATGACCGCACGTTGCTCAATTTTCTCCATTTTTTAAAAATGCTGCACAAACGCTAACAAAATTCAGTCTAATTTAAATACAGTTAATGCTATTGTGATAGAATTTTACAATTTGACAACCAGAGAATAAAGTAATCATATGAGGTCAGTTACATTAAAATAGTTTAAGTATTTATGTGTTAGGCCGCGAACTTTAAAATCCACCCTCGTACCTACAGGTTTGTAAGGAACCCTCGGTGCGCGAGTCCGACTCGCACTTGGATAGTTTTTTTTTTCGATCCAGCTAATTATTTACATTTATGTTCCTTATTGGCAAAAGATCGAACATGTTTAATTAACACAAAAATTTTTTTTTTTCGCAAAGGCACAATGTGCTTCTTATTAGAGGCAACAACATGCTTATTTTGACCGCTTTTTTGGGACTTTTTATTATTTTATAAATTCCACTGAATTAGATTTTAAACAATAAAAGTATACTAAGAACGACCAATCTCGTTCAAAATTATTTTGATAGTTTAAATAAATATAAATTATGCACTATAATTTACCAACATAATTATTATTTAAAAAAACCCGCGGTGATTCATATAATAATAAGTCACGCAGAGCGATATGATACAATTTTATCCTAGTCATTATATTAAAAATTACTACGCCACTTTTTTGAAGACACTCGTTTACATATTATATATGTTATAAAGTACTATTTATTCAGATCATTAATTACGAAAGTTTATATCAGATTGTAAATAAATTCTTGAAATGAAACGGTGCAGGCGCCACTTTCCGTCGCCCATGCTCACCCGTTCTTCCTTCCGACTGTCAAATATGTTTCCATTCTTTCGATTGCTTGTATTGTTTGCGTAAATACACAAACAAAAATGTTATTTTACTTAGAATTAAGTTAGGGTTTTATCTTCTTTTAATTATCAGTTAATCTACTGTTATAACAGTGCTTTTATTTTATATTGAATCATGTGGAAATAACTTTTGTTGTGAAGTGGTATTACATGTCCATCTGATAGGTAATCCAATAACGTAGCAAGATGCTGCCTTCTATGCCCGTTTTATTTTCTCGAGAGAGTCAAGATGCTTTTGGTAACAAGATTGAACCAAGCACCAGCTTTTTCAGTGCAAATTTGATCTCAAAACCACCTATCAAACCAGAGGTAAGCCAAATAAATCTATCACCTTTATTCCGTCTATTCTCACTCGTTTCTTATTCAAACCTTGTTATAATGTCAGTTTATTTTATTAGTATTGATACTCATGAGTTAATCAATAGAAAAGGATCCTGATTAATGAGAAATTTTGTGCATATTCCACTCAACAATGCATTTCTTATTAGTCGCCATTTTTAACGAGATTTTATTAAAATTTTTGACGTTGCATTTATTTCAGCCCCCTCCTCCGCCTTATACAATCACTACGAAAGAACCCGTAAAATCAGTTCAAAAGGAACCAAAAGGAAAAGGAAATACTAAGAAAAAAGATGACCCACCTAACTTTGATAATAATGCTATAGAAACAGGTATATATAAATACTCTTGTTGATTTGCATGTTATTAGCTCTAGTTATTTTGTTATTCAGTTGATCAATATGCTGTCAATGTCAATAGATGTCTGATGGAATTCATTATATTGCTTTTCAGCCTTAGTTAAATCATATTATGCTAAAGTACAATCACAATTTTCTTCCAACCCATCGGTGCCTAACAATAAATTTATTCAATTTCAAAATATCCTGAAAACATTTGATCCTACAAAAGAAACTCCGGTTGAATTGTATAGAAAAATTGAGCGCCTGTGTGGTGATGAACATAAAGATATTTTGGAAGACTTTTTATTGTTTTTAAAACCTGGCCAGGCAGCAAAAGTGGGCCGTTTCATGGATCACTTTATGATGGAACAGCTGAATGGATTCATAGAACTTTTACATGTAAGTATTAAGGTTAATGAAGTCAATGATTTTTGCAATGCGAATGAGATAACTGTTTTACTTGTAATTTGTTATTCAACAAAAATTTTGAGGGACGTATGTGCAAATAGACAAATCACAGAGTTTGTCTGTCAACATTTTCTTTTGCCTATGAATTCTGTCAAGACTTATTTTGCTAATAATTGGCTTTATTGCCTACTGTAAACATAGTTGTTTTAGTACTATTATAGTTCCTTTTTAATTTTTATTTTACCCCCATATTGGAAATAATAAAAAAAAAACTCAAGAGCCTGAAATAAGATTCAAATGGGGAAGACCAATGTTGATGGGTTAAAACCTCATTTTGGCATATAGGGCTAAGTGGATTTAGAATGTAAAATTTATCAACTATGTAAATTACATTCATAATTTAAAATTATGATATTATTATGTATGATATGGCCATGTAAATAGTAAAACTAGAATTCTTAAAATAAAAATGACTGGTGCTCTGTATAAAAATAACTGGTGGTTCTGTATAAAAATAGTCTATATTTATATACTGACCAACTATAAATTTGAGTTACATATTACTGACATTGGTGTCTTGGTCAGGTATCCTCTGACATAGACCTCCTCCAGGTTCCTACACATATTTCTGTCATAACTAATTGTTCTCCATTCCTTTGGCATCATCTACCCATCTGCTTATCTGTTCTTTTCCTTATTTTGGTTGCTATTCCATTGTCTATTTTGTCAATTTGTTCTCACTTGATTTCATCATGTCTTCTATCCATCGCCATTGGAAGCTTTTATCCCTGCTATACCATCCATCTGACAGTTTTGTGCCCCACTTGCTACTCCTCCCTCTCCATTCCTTGTTGGCACTTTTATTATTTATATTGCACTTTTCCATTTTGGCAACCATACTAAAAAATAATGCCTGCTCTGTTCATAATCTTATCTAATTGTCTTGTCCAATTCTGTTTTGAATCTAGAGTGAAAGCCGCAGCTCTAGGTTTCAGAATGATAATTTTCATTGATAATTATACAGATATTTATTTGATAAATATACCTTGATAATTATAAAACATGACACAAATTCTTATTGTAATTTAGAACTTGTCATTAAAGTGGAATCATCTTTTAGCAACTAGTAAATATGGTTTTACTGATAGAGAAATTTGTCTAGGATGGATCTACAAAAACAAAACAAAATATTAAAAGCCTGCCTTATATTTTTTTTTCTGACTTTTTTTAATGTCATTTCACGGTTACTATTTTCAATTATACTAACTTTCTTTCAAACCCTGCGCGGCTCTCTATGACTTGATTTACCTTAAGTCCATATTCTAAAACCCTTTCTCAATTACTTTTAGAGCTCTTTATGTAACGTCTCTGTCTAAAGAGACACTAAATGGCATCAAGATTTGTAGGTAATCTACATCACCAATTGTGAGATAATGCAGAGAATCTAATCTGATATTAGGTTCTTTACCACTGTCTTCTAGAGATGAGCTGAGAGTACTTGAAGTGTGTTAGTCAATACACAGCATGTTACCTATCCACTGAGCTATACATTCAGCTCCATTTCTGAGATGTGCAGTGCTTATATCTTTGTGTTTCAAGTCACAATAAAGTCTTACAGTGTGCAAAACAAAAACATGTTTATGTATACTAAATTAAAATAAGTTTATTATCCTCCTGTATCTTAGTTATTTATAGAATCGCAGTTTGAAAGTCTTAAAACTAAAGTTAGTATTGTTTGTTCAACAGAATTGTTACCAATGTTTATTTTAAGACGTTTGATCTTGTCGCGACACGTGTCCGAGGTATTCAACCTTTTAGAAGCTGATTGTTGAGCAGTTCTTACTGGATTCCACATCCTCCCCCAAAAGTGAGGGTGCCTCAGAGGGGGTTTAGTGGGTATGCCATCCATGTTTTGACTAGCCTTCGGGCGGGCCCGTGTGGATGGAGAGTCCCACACATCCCCTGTCGCCTATCAAGCGGCAAGTACAGTGCATAAAGCGTTCCCCCTACGACTATAAAAAAGATATTCGCGTCTCGCAAAACTGTTTCTTTGAAGACTTTTTCAATCCATCTCTTATGGAGCGAGAAGAAAACATAGGTATATAAAACTGTTAAAGATCCGGTTATTCCAGCGAATGAAATGTTTCAGCCGAGAATATAGTTCTTGTGTCCTAAAATCTGTAACCCAATGAAAAGTGGAAACGCTTTTACTGTATTCCTTATTTTCCAGAGAACATTCTACCGCAAGCCTACTATTTTACGGAAAATCCTCAGAGCTTTAACTACAGGCCTGAACAGCGGCAGCAGTGAACAGATGAAGACTCGTGTGTTGCCACACTTGCGATCCAACCCTCGTCTTATACAACTGTTCAAATCTTTGTTTCCTGATGAAAGACCACCAGATAGGTATTGACTTGTATATATTTAAAACACGCACACAACACATACTGCGTCACTATATAGGCCCTGCCATAATACCAGCATTTGCTCTGATGAAACATATTAAAAACATATATATATTTAATATGTATAGTTTTAGCTACTAATTTTCTTTATTATTGTTAGTCTTTCTTTCTTTTACTTCTATTTGTAATGTGATGTATAAATGTCAGTATAATTAGAAAATGGGATAGTATACTGATTTTAAGCCAAACATAATATATTATAAGAATGTATAATTTCTTTCTATTTAATTCCAAGGTCTGTAATTCAGCAGAAGCGACACTAATAGATAGACCACATACTTATATAAGTGGTGATAGTGAGAGGAAACTGTCAAAGTACGCTATCGTACCTTATGCAGAGGGCGCTGAACACAATTAACTCATGGTGCAAAAACAATAGTTTGTCGATTAATGCAGGCAAAACCTTGGTCGTCCCATTCACAAGGAAACGAAAACTGGACAAGCTTTCGCCTCCGACCATGAATGGGAGGCTCATTCCGTTCTCGACGGAGGTTAAGTATCTGGGGGTAATACTGGACCAGAAACTTATCTGAACGCACATGTAGACGGAATTATACAGAAGTCTAAAAGAGCTCTGATGAAATGTTGTCGGCTAGCGGGAAATAGATGGGGTTTGAAACCCGATATAGCCCTTTGGCTCTACACAGCCATCATAAGGCCGATGGTGTCTTATGCCTCGGTGGTTTGGAGTAGAAAAACGACACATTATATCAAGACTTAACAGTCTGCAGAGGACTGCCTGTCTTGTAGTAACAGGAGCTATGTTTTCCACACCGACTGCTGCTCTTAAGGCTCTGCTAAAGCTGCCGCCCCTACATCTACATTGAAATGGTGTCGAGGGCTAGTATGTACAGGATCACTAGCATAGAGACGAAGACATGGTTGTCATGTAATTTAAGGTACCTGAAGGACTCAATATACAATATACCAATCTTGGGGATGCCTACTAACACCATGCCCCGAAGAGTCGATTCTCACAGGTCATATCTTGTGGAGATACCCATGACTGGTCAAACAATCGTATAGTATGGAAAAATGGAAGCTTAAAGTGGTACACTGACGGCTCCAAATCTGGCCCTAAGGTAGGATGTGGAATTTATGGAGAAGCCCCAAGGAAGGCTATCAGTCTGAACATGGATAAGTTCTCCTCAATATTCCAGGCAGAAGTGTACGCCATTTTGAAATGTGCGGCAGCCAATCTGCAAAACAACTACCTCAATCGTACTATCTACAACTGCAAATAGGCATTGAAATCTTTGGGCAACTACAACAAAGTAGTTCCATGATGGGTTCTGGGTCACGCTGGGCACGAGGGCAATGAACAGGCGGACAAACTGGCGAAGAAGGGTGCTAAAGACGCCCTTATCGGACCAAAACCATTCTGTGGCATCCCTCAAAGCCTAACCCAGCTAACCTTGAAAATGTACGCAGCTATACAACTATGGAGAAACATTACCGGTATTAAACACTCTAAGACCATGATTAAAGCCTTCAGCAAAAAGGCGGCATCAGAAGCCTTAAACCTAACCAAAAAAAAAACCTTCGCACACTAGTACGAGCACACACAGGACACTGTGGACTGAACAGACACATGTACAACATCGGGATCAGCGGAAGTAGAGTGTGCAGAGGATGCAAGGAGGAGGAAGAAACACCCTTGCACATTTTGACTGATTGCCCGTCACTAATGCGAAAACGATGTATCTGTCTGGGGAAGCACGTGATGCACCCAGACGATATTAAAGAATTCACGGCCAAGAAAATACTACATTTTCTTGCAGAATGTAATCTTGACCGTGTAGTATGTAGAGATCATAATAGATCAGCAATGGTCGCAGTGATGCTGGGCTGCATAAACCCAAGATAATCCGCAACTCGAAACAATGCAATACAATACTTATATAACTTATGTTACAAATAAACTGCAAATAGATCATATGAAATATCAATGCACCCTAGGTACGGAGATGCCTCTCAGCGATAACGCCGTCAATTGTAACTTCTATCTTTTTTTGTGTTTTTATTGTCCTATTGTGGGTTTATGCACGGCTGCGTGTCAGGATACCGAAATATGTCGAATTTCCTCAATAAATTTCGAATTCCATATTAAAGTTTAAAATCAAGTGGAGAAATTAGATAAAATTGTATAGTACGTAGTTGACTGTACGATAAAAAATATATCATTCAAAGAAATAGTATGTATCTTTGCTTATTTTGTGGACTACATGAATTTGTGATATTTTATAAAATTAATATTCCAGCGCCTATGAAAACGCGACCGATACAATTAATGAGAGCTTCCTCACCGCCGACAACGGCTACGATGTTTGGGAGTTTCAAGAGGACACTAACAACAAATGGAAACGCGACGTTAAGGAGGGATTAGACACGATGGTAAGATTTGAAATTAACAATGTTTCAAATCTATAGAAACAATATATTATGTAATATTTCCAAATTACACAAAATAAAATTAAATATTTGTTGCAATTTTATCTGAGAAGAAAACGCCTTGTATTTGGTTGCAACTCCGATGACGTCACACGCTAGTAAATATGGCTTCCTGTTGAAGATTGTAGTTTGATGACGTTTGTTTATTTACTTGCGTGTGACGTCGTACGCGATGTAATGGCGGCGTAAAACAGTATATGCGTTTTTCACGCGGTTTCAGATATTTGAAATTTAAATTTGATTTTTATTGTAAATTTCGCCGAAACAAATTCCGCCGAGTCAAATATCCTATTCAATGACTATTATTCACTATTCGTAAGAGAAATATCATCGTTGGTTTATTCCACTTTTAAACAACACAACTGTACAGATCGAAAACCAAAAAACGTTTTTTGGTTATGTTTATAAAAAACGTTTTATGGATAATTATTAAGTTGTAAGTATGCTACGCGGCCTCTAAAGGAGACACACAGCATAGATTTCAACCAATCTTCTTTCCTACATTTGTACATACATATGGTTATAGTACACCCCATAAATATAGATACAGAAATACCGCTGAACGTGAAAATAATTGTTTCAGTATCTCCATGGACGGGTATTTCTCCAGCATGGTAGACTACTCCGTTCTGCCAGCGTCACATATCCTTACAGCAAAGAACCGTACCGGGTACATGCGAGACGTCTCGCGCCTTCACATTGCCACTTATCCCCACCAGATTCCGGCGACGAAAGGTCCACAACCAAACGACCTAACAGGTCCGCCAAATCAACTCCCAAAAAGACCAAGAAACCGCCTAAATCACCCACTAAAAACGCAAAAGATGTCAATGATAACACAAAGTTAAAAGACTGTGCTGTCACAAACGCGTTGACCTCTAAATCACCCAAAATCAAATCCCAGAATATTAAGAAAACTTGTAAAGACAAAGACAGTAATAAGAATAATAGGAAAGACAGTAAAGGAGCCACTTGTCAAAAGAAAGATACTAAACAAGCCAAGGTGGAAACGAGGGTACCTGAAATGAAAGCGGTGGAAACGAAAAATACCAGTTGGACGAGAGATGAGGATAAGACAATGTTGCAAGTTATTAAGTGCGAAGCTGATTCTGAGATAGTCTTCGGACGAATAGGTGAACTGTTGCCTCATCGGTCCGTGTCCGAAATTAAGGAGAGATTCTGCCACGTTATGTCGTTACTTCAACAAATGGCAGTTGGGGAAGTAACATAATTATTGTTATAAATGAATTGAAATAGTAATTTATACGAGGAAATAGTATTTATAATTTTGTAAGAAATAAAAAATATTTTCGATCTGTACTCGTTTTTTTTTGTTACCTATAAATTAATAAATTTATTACTATAAATATTTTAAATAAAAGTTAAATATAAAGATAAACACAAATAAAACTGTATTAAACACGCTGGAAAAGGTGTTAGAAATGATTTTTGAATTCTTTATAACATGGATGAAAATGAGCCAATTCGTCAGAATAATTATGTCACCTGTCGTTGATTTATAAAGTTAAAGAAAATCCGATTCGTTCGCCTCCTTTAGCTTTCTTAAATATATGTCCGGCTAGATTTATATATCTGTATATATATCTATAAATATTTTTTTATCATAAAGCATTTTGGTATTTCATCGTATTAAAAAAGATAACTTTTATCTTTTTTAATAACTAAACTTAGGAGTAATGAGGTTTAAAAATAATAATTAAAGGAGAGTATACAACCAAGTTAATCAAAATGTCTTTGTCCAAATTCTTATTTGACACGTGTCATGAGTTTACTTATTTTATCAATTTTTTAAAATGTTTTATAATTATTATTAATATCCAACAGAGAATATGTTCAAACTTAGCGATAATTACTATCAAAGGAAATGTTACCTCAAACGGGAACAAGTGCCAACGCAGAGTGTCATAAAGCAGAAGATGTCCCCACCGCTCGCCGAGGTTTACTTCAAATCCATGAGACCGAAATTAAAAGTGCTCGCTGGGTTAGAACCACCCATGAAAGGCGGTGGCAGCGATTGGTTCGCTCCACCCGAAGAAATACTGAAAGGTAGAACTGTTCTCAAACCTATAAAGAAAGAGTTCCTTTCAAAACTAGGATTTAGCGGTATCGATTTCTTTGGAGAGAAATTAGTAGCTCATCACAATAAATGCTTGGAAGAAGAGAAAAAGCAGGCGTTGCTTGATAGTGACACGATTTGGAAGAAGAAGATTGAGGCAGCCTGTCGTCAACAATGGGAAGACACCTCATACGAAGCTGCAAGTTATAACACTGAAAAGATTCGTCACGCTTTTCACGAGTTTACTATCTTGTATTCAACCTCTATAAATAAAATAGAATCCCTCCTTTTCAATGCAGCAATCGAGGAAATAAAAAGATTCAAAGAGGAAACACATCAGAGAATGAGTTTGCGTTTGAAAAACCTTATAAAACAACAAGCGACTGAACTTTACGATTTATACGCAGAGAGACTTGCTAAAGAGAAAGCCAGGCTAAAAGCTCTATTTATAGAGAACTTGGAGAAATCGCGTAGTGCCATGGTTGAACAAATACATGACATAAACTTGGAAAAACACTTGGCCATAGAGAAGTTAAGAAATTATTTTGAATGTCAAAACCTAGCATGTCGAGTATATGTTGCGTTAAAAGAAAAAGAAGTGTGCGAAAAAGAAATGCAGCTTTCCAAACATAAACACGAGAAAAAAGTAAAACTTTTGAAAGAAGAAATCGCTATGAAGGATTTTGAGATTTTACTCGCAAAAGAGAAAGAAAGGAAACGGCAAGCGTTTAACAGAATCTGGCAAAAAAAAATTTGCGAAGTAATCAAGAAGCTTCAAATTTTTATTGCATACTGTCTGCATTCTTTGCCAGAACATGCAGACTTTTTTATAAATATGGAAAAGCTTATGATGTTACAGATGAACGAAGTTATGGACAACCCTAATGCAGAGAGCATTTTCGTAATTGAAGACGACAAGTTCCACACTCCTATACCACGGCCACATCCTTTTTTTCTCTTTTGCGATAAAGGCTATAAGCCCGAACTGAACCAAGAGCTCTGCCCAAAACACTGTACCTCTAGTGCGTCACAATTGCCCGTGATAGTTGTCAACAAAAGATATATATACGGTGCTTGTGATAATTTCGAAATGTTCACAGACAAAATAAAGCAGTATATTCATGGCAAACATGGTGATGACAAAGATTTTGAGGACGGTCATGATAACTCTTTTGGTGTACCTGTGAAATACACTGAATCGACACAGTTGGCCGAGTTAAAATTAGAAAGTTCACTAATGCAAGTCCTCCAAACAGAGCGCCCTAATTTAAGGAATTTAGAGACTGAATGCTGTGTTTGCAGAGTTCCTCATTGTTTCTGTAGTAGATTAGAGGCAACGGAAATACCAAGGCAGACGAAAAAAATAGGACCAACGAGAGAACCTTCGTTGCACAGTATTCCATCGGGCAATAAAATTGAAACTAGAAGTGAAGAGTTGAGGCACGAAAGGCAACCTAAATGGGAGAGCTACATGAACTATATCGAACCCAGTAAGTGTAAATGCGCCAAGATAGCAAAAAATAATTTACACGAACATCTACCAGCTTACATGAGGAATATGTCCATTTTTGAAACACCAGAATTGCCACATTACGAACCTTGTTCTATTAGGACTCTGAAGTATTTGGTAAAGAAAGCACAAGGCAAACGCACTCCGCCAGAACCTGTTGTAATTGAAAGTAAAACTAAAAATGTTGGCACGCAATATTCTGATCAAGAGTTTGATATTCTCTGCACTTGCTTCTCTGATGATGAGATAGATCGTCTTTATAAAGAAATATTCCACGAGTTGAAACCTGGTGGTTTTAGGGTCGTGGACGGGTCTATCTCCCCGGGAACTTTAGATAAAACAGCCAGCTCTTTTGCGACTGATAGAGCGTATTCACTTAGGAATTTGTTGGCTACAGCTCCGGAACTTGAAGAAATCTTCAGGAAAAAAGATTGTAACTTTTAACGATTTTTGTTGATAAACCAATATTGTTAAATCTTTAAGTTTGATAAGTTAATATTAATTTCATAATAAAGAACCAGATTTTCAAAGGCCGATAAAAATCAGCCAAGAAATCTTAGTTACTATAAAGTGGTCAACTCCGGTCAAATAATACTTATGTCATTGTAGTTTGGTATGAGTGTGTTCGCTATATTTTTACAATCAGAAGAGTTTCGTTTGCAGTAGTTACATATTTAAGTTTGATCCTTAATTATTCTGATTCTAGGTTTGATCACGTTCCAACAGTACTTTGTTGCAATAATAAGAGACACGCCTTGTTTCTGAATTAAGAATCTGAAGTTGAGCACGTCTCAAGACGTGCTTAAGCCATTATAAACGTCATTTAAACAGGTTTTCATTACTGATTTATAATTTTAATGATCAGTTGATAACGATTTGATGAAACTTATACTTTTTGCCCTTTGAAACGTAAAAAACTTTGAGAATAATCAGTTGAGTTTTGTGCTTTTCTCAATTCAGAAACCGGCCGTAGAAGTCAGAGCGATAAAATATTGTGTGATTTTTGCAGTCATTCGAATAACTTAATCCACATCATAATAACTTTGAGTGAAGATTTGCAGGATATCAGTCTCAATATTTATGCGAAAATGAATTGTATTTAAAAATTACCACATTATTTTTTAATTATTTCTAATAGCATTTACTTCCGCCATTTATCGCCTTTATGTTCCAGGCTATAAATAAGTGACTAAAAGATGACCTGGAAAGTTTTCTAGAGTACATTATAAATACAGAATTCTAACTATGGTGCTGCCACACCGACGTCAGCCCAGCAGCGCCAGACTTTATGTTCGAAACCACTTGTAACTTGGCGATTTGTCCTTAATTAGTAACGGATTTATAAATAAGGGACTAGATAGATCAGGAAATTATTTAATAATCATAGAGGGTAGCACTACCAGCGTGATACGGATTTGACGAGTCAAAAACTTAAAATAGTAGTTTCACGTTCCCAGACTGACGGACACGGGACAGACCTTTGTCGATATATAGATCAATTGCGTGAAAGTGGCCAATCGTCGAACCATAATGAGTTGACATCTCAAAACGCAGGTTTTTTATCAAATTCAAACCTAAGGGGGTGGTGCTGCCAGACTGACGTACACGCGCCGATTCGCTTCAAATGGAAATCTAAATAAAAACCACATTTCAAGTCTATAATTTTTTTATTATAAAATCACTGCAATATTGTGTAATGACGGCACGGATGCTAACGCAACAGTGCCGAGGGTGGCTTGCGTACAAGATCTGCCAATACAGTTAACATTTACTCTAAACCATACGCCTCTCTTGTTCACAAGTATTTTCCTCAACTTTAGCTCTCGAGGTATCTAACCACTTTTACATAAATTAGATTGCAAGAAAACTTTGTGAACAAGAGCACGGATACATCCACAAACATTATTCTGATTACAACTAAATATATAAGCGAATCGGAACAAAAACAAATGCTATCATCGATTGAATTAGAAAATTAAAATACATTTACAAATCGGTGAAAGTTTCATCATTATGTAAACCGGCGCGCAGTTAAACTTGCACGCTCACAAATATATATACGAGATGGCGACGCGAACCTTGAGGATCGCATCGATACAGACGCCCCGTCTCTATACCCCCTTGAATCTAACCAATTAGATTTCTTAACTAATATCAGTCCTAGAACTGAACACCTGATTCATCGCACGCGTCTCGCTGTATCACCACAAACATAAAACCACTGCCGCATCCGCAACTAAAATTTTTGAACGATAATAATTTGGATTGAATTTCAAACTACTATTATTATAGGTTACAAAGAAAAAATATACTCAATATATTTATTTCATAATAGAAATTTTGTAAAGGAAACGTTTAATTTTCCATTTGTGGAAAACGATAATGTTGTTTAAATAGTAATATTTAGTTAGTTGAGTGCGGGCAGTGTGTTTGTATCGGGCAATGCGATATGTGTATGGTAGGTGTTTAGCTGTAGAGGTCATCGTCCCCGCCCTCCTCCTGGAACGTGGGCTGATCTCCGCCCGACGTGCCAGTACCTCCCGCCGCGCCACCGCTCGACGGGAACCTTGAGAAATATTGCCAAGTTAATTAACTCTTCGCTTTTCTCCAATGAGGAAGTATTAAAAACAAAACATTAATTCCCGAAATCCAACTAGATGTCGCTACGGTACTTTCTTGATTTTCCATGACAACCTTTTCGGTTTTCTTTCATATATATAAGTAAATTAATTTTAAAAACTCAATAAACAGCTCATATTCTATTTGTACTTTTTTGTATTTGTATTGATATCTAAGTTTTGAACTTTGCAAATTTCAGTTTTATATTATATTAGTTAAAAGAAACGGAAGTGACTATCTTTGGTCCAATCGTTTCCTGCAAAAATCAACTTTTGCTAGGGTCGCCATCTAGTGGAGATGCTTATTTAGTGCTTTCGTTTTTTTCTTAAATACTTCCTTAATACGACAAAAAGTCCATAAATAAATTAATATTAGAATGTTACTTTTAGTGCCTCTGTACTCTTTTACTTGATGATCATTGGTTTATCGTAAAACCATCGAAGATTTGAAAGTACAGAATTTACGATAGACGATAAGGACGAATATCTACCAAACGTCCTTGATATAAACATAATATTGTTTTTAACATTCGATACACCTACTTTATTGCATATGCCATATACTCTATATCTGGTCATATTTCATATGTTAAGCTGAAACAATTACAGGCACGCAATCTCATGCAGTTAAAAGTCAATGATACTTTAGCTTTAGTCAATTATACCGTTAGCTCAGTCAGTCAGTATATACCTATATTTATTTTTATCTAAACAAATCAATAATGTAAATTATGATATGTTTGTAACACTTCTATCAATGTTGATTCTCTATGTTTTCCAAATGTAAATACCTGAAGTTAGTGCCGAAGCCGCGGCTCTGCTGCAGAGTCTGCGCGAACATTTCGTATTTGCGTATATCGTTGTCTGAGACTGAACGACGCGCGAATTTCATCGCCTCCTCGAAGTGAGCGCGACTTATCTCGGGCACTGGGTCCTCTTCGTCCATCTGATTATACATAAAACACAATGTCGTAGATAATGTGACATAATATATATAATATTGGACTTCAGGTAGATAGTGTAATGGCAAAGTGCAAGTTGTTGAGGTTCTATTGAGAACTGAGATGCTATTGTTACGTAAACATTAGCAGGTTTAGCGTTGGAGTAAATTTACGCTGAGACTGCACTTAGTATTAATCAAAATTCATATTATTAAACACAGACTTAACAAGTACGAGGTTAATAAAGTAGAAAGTAATAGATTTGCTTATTGTCTGTATAATATGAATTTGGACTAATACTATAATTGCAATTTCAGCTTAAACTTACTCTGACGCTAAACTTTGTTTATTAATAGCACTGTAGCAGAATTAACCTACAGTACAGTTCAATCGTGTTAATAAGTTACTCCGATATACACATACAGCACAGAAAATGCTCAATGACTTTAATATTATACTGGTCACAAGGGGTAATAAAAACAGCATACGATATTTTTTTTTAACTGAAAATCCCTTTCGTTTACCTCACAAATGACGTCACGTTGACACCGTTTACGCGGCTTTTAAACAGTAATATTTTCAAACGTTCGTTTGAGGTACATAATAAGGGTTATTTATATAAAAAAATATTTTTGTAGGAAAATATCATGTAGATTAATTTAAAACAGTGTTTTGAAAGCTGCCGGGTCTCCTATTATAATAATAAATAAATAGTTTACTCACATCCATGACGGCGGCGGCGGGCTGATTCTGCCTGGTACGTTCCCGCTGTATCTCCGCCTCGATAGCCTGTCTGATGGCGAGTTTGCACGCGCGCTGACATATCTCCGTCAAGTCAGCGCCACTGAACCCTTGTGTCACCTTGTAAACAATACCTCTATTAATATTTGAAGTTCGTTGGGTCGGCTAGTGTAATAAATAGATATCAATCTATCGTGTTAATGCGCTGAATGAGTAATACGAGAAATAACTAATAGTAAATATGTGTAAATATAAATTGTTAGTTTGTATTATACCGCTTTCGCAAGGGTCATTCACGGGATGAGTGACCGAAGAATTATTATCTGCAGCTAATCCGTGTTTCGGAAAGTATGTTAAGCCATTGGTCCCGGCTGCATTTGCAGTTCTTAATACCTAGGCCTGGAATGCTTGAAGCCCCAGTAAAAGGGCTGATGGTGAAGTGAAGATGAAGGTCTAAGTGTAGAGGTGCACTAAGAGAGGATTTTTGAAAATTCCACTGGGATGGGGCTAAATTAGGGAATTAAAGTTTGTATGAAAATTCGTTACTACAAGTGCTAGGAGCTAAAATTTTGCATGCCAGTTCTTTTTACGACACTTAGACGGGAATTTGCGAAATTCAACCTCTAAGGGGATAAATTAGAAGATGAATGTTTTTGTGGAAATTTAGCAAAAAGCTAGATACAATATAAAATACCTTGGCGATGTAAGATAGGTCGACGTCTTTGGCGATCGGTGATTTCCGAAGGTTAGCGCGCAATATAGCCTCGCGAGACTTCTCATCGGGCAGCGGGATGTAAATCAGCTGATCCAGACGACCAGGTCGGAGGATAGCTGGATCGATTATGTCCGGACGATTCGTAGCGCCTATAAACAATGGATATCGATTAAAAAAACTATTCAATGACTAGAAATAGTATACTAACGAATATAGATAGAAAATATGAGAAAAAACAAATAAAATTGCCCAGAATTAGCTACTCGACTGATTTGCGTACGAACATAAGATTTATTTTAGATTAATTTGATTTGACCCACGAAACCAATCAGTCGAGTTACATTTCGATCTGTGACGTCACATTTCAATAAAAGTGAGTACTGGTTGCACTCGCGACGAAAACGTTGACGTTTAATTTATTAAAATATGATGTCACACGGTGCTCCGTTAAGGCCACTAGTCATTTTCAGCAATCAATTGGGTCCACATGCGGAGTTCGGGTTCAAGGGTATTGATTATCATTAGTAGATATATCAATCATATTTCACCCGCATGTTTAATATGACTAACCAACTTACCGAATAACGAAAATGAGTTTTGAATACATAAGTCGTGGCGAAAACATACTTAAAAAGGCTACGAAACTTACCAATAATAAAGACATTCTTCTTAGCTCCCATGCCGTCCATCTCTGTGAGGATCTGATTGATGACTCTATCAGCGGCGCCGCCCGCGTCCGATACTGACCCACCACGAGACTTCGCTATGGAATCCAGCTCGTCGAAAAACAAAACGCATGGAGACGCCGATCTCGCCTAAACAAACATATAAATAAATATAAGACAACACCAGATACATTACTCAGATTCTAAGACAAGTAGCTAAAGCCCTCGTATTATGCAGTATCTGAGACAAATAGGTATCGCAACACCCAGACCCGCGACAATGCTAGAGTAAATTTTCTACATCTATATTGTGACTCATGGTGCAATTTGAGAAGTTTGGTCTAACAGTTAACAGAACAATGACATATATTGAATGAAGGTAAATTGTCGACTACTTAATATAATGCACTCATACCTTGTCGAAGATATCCCTCACGTTGGCTTCAGATTCACCAAACCACATGGTGAGTAGCTCCGGTCCCTTTACAGAGATGAAATTGGCCTGACACTCGTTGGCGATAGCCTTTGCCAACAGTGTTTTACCTAAAGTACAAAAATATAAACTTTTTATATATCAGGTTATCAGTCTATGCTGTTCCATATGGATCTACAGTTATTGAGACCTAAAATATCTATTATATATGACTCGCCGCCCTTTCAGCCTGGTAGCCAAGTCTAAGATGTTGCAAACTTTCAATAGACCATATATTTTCTGGACAGATTATATAGCGCTACCTTATCCCATGAAGTTTGAAAAAATAATATATAGCCCATTATACTTGCTAATAAACGACAAATTACATGGTTTTATGTTGATAAAAGTTTTAAAGTCAGTCCCCTAGTTGAGTTTGTCCCGGGGCCCATTAACTATGTTGTAATAAATAATCCAGTTGTAAGATTAATCCCAAAATTTAGAGTTTAACCGCAAAAATATAGCTGATAAAAAGCAATTGACTAGTTGGCGGCGGTTACAGACTTAAATTTCTTCGACAAATGAAAAAGGACCTTATGTATGAAACCAACGTGTAGAAAAGCTAAAAGTTTAAAAGAAAATTATAAAATAATAGTAAAGATAGCACCTACCGCATCCAGGCGGTCCATAGAAGAGTACGCCGCGCGACGGTTGCATACCGAACTTGAGGAACTTGTCGGGGCGTTCCACAGGGTACTGCACTAGCTCCTGCAATTCTCTCTTAACATTTTGCAGTCCTCCGATATCGGTCCACGTCACGTTCGGCACTTCCACCACCGTCTCGCGGAGAGCCGACGGCGATGATTTGGTCATGGCGTACTGGACGAAAACAAACGATTAACGACTTCTTAATATACAAAGCATTTAACGAGACAGAAAAAATGCCTGTAAGCTATCTTAGTAAATCAATCAACAACATGAATATGTAACAGATTAAAATATATATTTTTTAATTATTGTGAAATAATTCAGGCATCAATCTTGTAAAACTTTTGATGGATTTTCTACATCTTTGATAAGATAAATACATTTACACTGTTATGTATTGGTATATAGTAGAAGAAGATTGAAAAGAATAAAGAATACTGAAAATATTGACAATTTAAAAAAGTCTAACTTGTTTCGATCCCTGACTATCACTTTTGAAGGAGATCAAATGCAATGAAACTCACCCTAAAGTTATCCATGGATACAGCGAGCGAGTTGAGCACCTCGGCGTCGATCTGATCATCCTCCAAGTCGATGAGGTCCATCTTCTCTCTGATCTGCTGCAGGGCGGCTTCCGAACATAGCGACGCTAGATCAGCACCCACATGGCCGTGAGATTCCGCTGCTATCTAAACAAGAACAAAAACCTTCAAATTATTATGTTTACTAATGAAATGAAAATATTAGACATCAATAGTAGTAGGAACACTTACAGAATTCAAAATGCAGTCGGAAGCATTACAAATGACTACAGTTTTCATAAGGTTAGAGCAGTTAGAATTTACACTTTCAAAGAATACTGATTTTAAAGTAATCTGTATCTTACTGTGATGAAAACAAAATTAATTACCTAACAACTTAATATGTGTAGTTAAACCAGCTATTAGTACCAGTTTAAAACTATTATCCGACCAAAATAAATAGGTACAATAAGGTGGAAAAAATTTACCTGTTCAAGATCAACGTCATCACCCAACTTCATATTCTTGGTGTGTATACGAAGTATCTCCAGACGGCCGGTGGCGTCCGGAATGCCGATGTCTATCTCCCGGTCGAATCTGCCGAAACGACGGAGCGCAGGGTCGATGGAGTTAGGCCGATTGGTGGCCGCCATCACGATCACGTGCGAAGACTTCTTCATACCTAAACGGTAACAAAGTTAACAAGAAATAAATAGGTAAATAAATATCTAACATCATACACATTATTCAGATTCCAAGATGTGTAGCTAAAGTCCCTGTTTCAAAGGGTGTTTGACACAATGTAGGTAACACAACACCCAGACCCGAGACAATATAGAAAAGTACATTTTCTATATTGATCCGATCAATCTTACTGGGGACCTCAGAGATGGCGACACCTTGATGATACCGGCGCGAGTCCGCTATGCTATGGAGATCAAGAAATTATGCGTGTAGTGAGGAATTTGGACGAGAACCTCGAGTTCATTAACTCCATCAAGTGCCGAAGACTGTTATTATGGCTACGTAATGAGCAGACTATCTTATTATGGCTATATGATGAGGTAAAACAAATACGAAGTTCTTAATTCAAGGAAAAGTTATGAGAAAGCGCAGTGCTCGTAAGAGACATTCTTGGCTCAAGAACTGAAGGGATTGGTTTAGACGAAGTACTACATGCCTGTCCCGAGCAGCAGCCTCAAAAATAGATAGAAATATATATGAATAAGAAGAAGATTAAAAGTGCCACTGGTGACATAACAACTGAAAGAAAAGCTACCAAAAAAAATTTATTCAGAAGTAGACGAGTCATAACACACACAAGTAACTTTAATATGTCATAATTATAAAAGCAAATGTTTTTAACTTACCGTCCATAAGAGTCAACAACTGCGACACAATACGACGCTCCACTTCACCATGGGTTTTCTCTCTCTTTGGAGCGATGGCATCAAGCTCATCAATGAATATAATAGCCGGAGAATTCTTGTCCGCCTCCTCGAAAGCCTTACGCAGGTTTGATTCGGACTCGCCAGCGAGTTTGGACATGATCTCCGGTCCGTTGATCAAGAAGAAGAAAGCACCTGGACACAAGCGACAAGAAAAATTATCAGTGACGTCAATATTATGTGTTGACAAAACAACTGATTGTATTTCTTTCGAAATTTATTTATTTGCTAAATCTTTGCTCGTCGTAAAAAGTAACCTTAGTCACTGTTTCAGTCTTCCGACCCCACTGCTGAGGAAGAACTGATCAAAACCCATATAACCATATAACCCAGATCAAACGTGCGGATTGACGGGTGTTAAAGTAAACGGAAAATGTTTTCGTAAGAAAGTCGCTTAACTTTCGCAGTTTGAATGCGCTCACCACTGCCCATCGAATTAATCCATTACGAACAAAAAAAAATTAAATAATATCTCTTATAGGGTGGGTGCACCAGTAGCAACTGATTAAGCATCATTTTAAAACAAATTTTGATGATGTAACTGAATTGATACAACAACCTTAGTGAAAAAAAAATAATTGTACCCTACTTACCATATAATCAAGTAGCTTATTCAAATATTTGTAATGGTTATAAGTAAGTAAGCTAATACCAGTTTAAAAAAAAATGTGCCAAAGGTGAGAAAAGAAAGTATATTAATAATTATTCAATGATCAATAGCGATGATCACGTACTTGGCAGAAGTAGTATGACAATGCTATCAAACGTGAAAAAAGTAGGAAAATGTAAAAAATATATGTTTCAAAATTCGAAGTGTACTACTGGTCCCTGGTGTGGGACTGGCGCACCTACCCTCATTTAAGAAAAAAAAACTAAATATACGTCTCACCAGTCTCATTAGCAACCGCCCGAGCTATAAGAGTCTTGCCAGTACCGGGCGGGCCGTACATGAGTATACCGCGCGGGGGCTTCACTCCGATCGCCTTGAACAACGACGGATGTCTCAGAGGCAACTCTACCATCTCCTTGATCTGAGCGAGCTGCTTGCGACAACCACCGATGTCGTCGTACCCGACTGCGTTTAGGGCTTCCTCTTCTTCCTATATGGTAAAAAAAAAGTCTTTAGTCTTTCTATAAAACGCTATTTATCTTTTGAATAGGTTTAAAGTTGTTTATGAAATATTTTCACTGGCCAATTTAGAGGTAACAAAATAAGGATTACCTTGACCAGGGTAATCCTTATTTTGTAACAAATATAATGTATTGGAAAATATAGAATAAGATTTTTTTATACATTTTATATAGATGCATAAATATTTATTTCTCTAATTGTTTATTGAAAGATTTTACTTTTAATTGTTGGTCATTTACGATTAATAAGTTAATAATAGGCTAGTTGTATTTTTTTTTTCATTTTACAAATAAATAGTCCATTATTATCTGAAGTAACAGCATATCTTCGATTAATAATTTCAGAAATAGCCAAAAACGCTCCCTACAAATTCAAGGCAGTAACTGTCATCACACAAGCACAATGGTAGTGAAAAAAGTATGGGCATCTGGGCAATCTTTGTAATATCTATGTTATTTGTGCGTTTATGTTCATAGCTGTTTGTAGCATATTATTTCAAAGCATATTATTTTCCAAATCAGTACCATAATTTTAAGTTAAAATGGTTCATATTATGCAAACATATAACAGAAACCTATATTATCACTTGTAGTACACAACCCTATTGTGCATGTTGCAGTAATTTAATAAAAATATATTTACTTCCAAGAAGTATTATCATTAAACAGGTGAAGGTTTCATCTCACCTTGTGTGTTGTTCATAAACAAAATGGGTGTATAATGATGCTTTGTTTTCACATCATCATTATATTCTTATCTTGACTAGTAATTAAAAAACTCGAAATCAATGTTCAGAATAGAACCATTTATCTGTATGCAATTGTCAATCTGAATTAACTCTTACCTCTCTCTTGATAGGCTCGCCTTCACAGTGTATGACCGTGTCTGGTGCTACGATGCAGTACGGAGATGGATCAGTTTCTACAACTTTGAACTCGACAGCGCGCATGCCTCCGCGCACCATGAAGGTGTCGTCACGATGAATGGGCCGGTAGGCTTCCATAAAATAGGGCTTCAAGTAGACTTCAAAGAGGTTCCTAGGGAATACAATTACATATGTAAAAAACAGTTACATGGCATATACTTATAATTTTTTTATATGTGACAGACAGGGAAAAATGATGATAGGGAATACGTAAGTTTCATTGATCGCGCCAATAACGTGCTGTCAATTATACTTATACGAAATTGGCGAGAATAAATAAAATATTTCAATAAAAGTCAGAGAATTTTAATAAGAATATCATATACTAGACTTGTGACGTCATAATCTAGTAGACCGTAAACGATCCCGTGCATAAACGACAAGGTCACCACTACAGTACCGTAATATTATTTCATAAATTAATATAACGACAAAAAATGAAATTTTCTTGGAAATATAAGTTTCCATTTACATTAATAGTTCTATAAACCATTTCTGATGCGTATCCCGTATTATAAACTTTTAACAGCATTGCAATTCGACCTTTAACTGTCATAGTGTGACGTCATTCGCCAACACATTAAATAGTTTTACAATTCAATAAGTGTCCCACTTTCGGCTCTAAAAAATATGCACATAATTCTTACCCAGTCAAACCCTCAACGGAATCATCAATCGGCAATATATGGACACGTTTTCCATATTTTACCGATGGACAAGGTGCTATTGACACCACATCCGACAAGCGCACGCGCAAGTTGTTTCTCACGACCCGATTCATGCGTATCTTCTCGTCAGGGCAGTTGTCGTCTGATAAGACAATGCACACGGTCTCCTTGCGACGCTTTCCCTTCAGAAGTACTGTGTCACCTCTGAATAGCTGCAGCTGCTCCATTTTGGCCTGTCGGTAAAAAAAATGGATGCCTCAAGTCTAATGTTAATAGAAACGAGTAACCAAACATTTTCAATCGTAAGATACCAAATTGTCTCGGGACGCTTTTAACCAGTGATTTCTTAATTAGGCTACCGAAATCTAGACTATGATCAAGTAACATACCTTACAAAATAAATATGGGACATGCTATGTTTAGGGTATCCTCAAAAGATATGAGTGCCACAGAAGAGAAATACACCCAAAAAAATTATCAATGTTCAAGTATAAAGCTGTTAAAAATGTCATACTTGCATTTTTTATCTTGTACAAGATGACAAACGGCATCACATCAGATGATAGTAATAAGAGTTTCTAAAAGAGTAATTCCTATAACACCATATGTACCATAATAGTTTAATTACTATGTTTGTATTTTTAAGTCAAAAAAAATTCAATAAATTGTAATTTAGTGATATTCTCAATTTAGTTACAGTTCTTTATGAAATGATTCATGTTTATGCAATTTTGTAATATATATTACTATGATAATTAGCCACATATAAGAGTTTTTTTTTTTTTAATTTTTAGCGTTACTGAACACATTCTTCATAAGATTTCTTTGAATATAAGTCAATATAACATTCATCTTACATACGTTTTTTTCTTTTAGTTTCATCATCTTCATAGATCATTTGATCTATATCTTTTCTGAGTTTAAAAATAAAGCACTTATGTATGTTCTCTTTCACATTATTTTACTCAAATCACATTAGTAAGAGTGCAAGCTACACAAGAAAATTAATGTTAAGAAAGCTTATCTTTAATTAGTGTTTGATTAGTTATCATTATCAACACCAGCCTGTTAATGTCACATATGCTCAGGTCTTCCCTATGGATGGAATTGAATAGGGAGAATAGGCCCACACATTGGCTCAGTGCAGATTTGTGGGTGTCATCAACAACTGCACATGCAGCCGGGACCCACACCTTAACATGCCTTCCAAAGCAAGGAGCTCGAGATAATAAACTGGCCATTGCAAAAATTTAAGTATCGCCATTGAGCAGCTCACTTGATGATATTGTAACATGAAATTCAAGAATTTTTAACTTATTCATATTTTGTTTAGCATAATAAAGGTAAAAGACCTGATAAATTGCTTAGGTTTGACTGTGAACAAAACATAAAATGATGGTGTTATGTTAGCAGCATGTGAGAGCCATCTACAACTACCTACATTGTATCTGTATACCGTGAACGGTCTATGACTAAAAATAATGAGACATATTCTGCCATGAACAGTCAAATATAAGAGTGTTATGCCACTCTTTTCTTCTGATTCAATTTTTTCAGGATTCAATGTGTAACTAAAAACTATTACCATTAGCTATTTTTTTTTCATGTTGTAATCTCATTTAGGATTTCCTCATTCATGAATTAATTTATCTATTGTGTTAAATATTTAGAAAGTATCATTAGTAAAGTTGATTGTTTGATGATTAATAAGAACATTTGGTTATTATTAAATACATTAACTGCCCAACCTGCCAAACCTTGATAATTAGGAAAGTTATTACAATATTATACTTGAATAAACTGAATAACCCAAATATCCTATATTATGCTTCCTACTTCATTCATAATTTGACATGTAATAAATATGTATCATAAAAACATTCACTCATTCAATCACCTGTCCCAGGTGCCAGATGGGATTTGAACCCAAAATCTTTCACAATCAGAGCAACTGCAATCAATTGAACCATCCAAGACCTCTACAAGACTGATGAATTTCCCATAAACTTGTAAACACCTAAATAAATAAAAATCTAAGTATCTACTTAAATAAATGGTAAACTACACATAGGATCCAACCACTTGTTGCTTAGTTGAATGAATATTGACAATTAGGTAAATATTCATAATTAAATTTATTGTTATTTGTAACATGACAAAAGATGATGAAATATTAACATATGCTGCAAGTATAAGAAGCTTTTCAGCTTAAAAATAATTAAAAGCTGAAGTTCTTCATTGAGAGAAATCTACACTAATTTGGACAGAATTATATGAGGTGTACAAGACTATAATTAAAGAGGTCCGATCACATATTTCCAAATTTTAAGTTATTTAAAAAACTAGCTATCTGCCAGTGTCTTTGCCAGCATGTTGCTGTATTATACATATAAACGTTCCTCTTGAATCAGTTTATCTGTTGTTGACCATATTAAATTCCATTATGTAGTTTAGTAGATCTTAGCATACATACAGCGGAACGCAAATATTTTATATTATGTATAGATAATATTTTATATAACAAAATTGGGACTTATTAAACTAAACACCATTAATTGTCATCCTACTCACCAAAGGTGATGAATCCTCTCTTTCAGTACAGATTAATATGTCATACTATGTATTCATAAAATTTACCAACTACTACATGTTTATACAAGGTTCTTGAATTAATATTAAAGTAGAAATTGCAGATTAAGAATACTTAGGTCATTGCTATCTTAAAGACATACAACAAACCCAAAGACTGCTTACCTATAGAGGTTAGAATGACTAGCATAATTTGCATTTACTATACAAATAGCAACAGATTTTGTATATGACTTATTTTGATACACAATAAACCTAAATGATATAATTTCGTAGTGCGAAAGTAATGTCGAAGCAGACATTTTTATTTGTCATTGGCGGCGTTTGTAATGATGCCAATGGATTTTAGATACAAATAAAATGGAGGTTTTGTCCTAACCTGTGATAATGCGACGACGGAGTTATCATCGCTGACGGCCTCCTCTACGATGAGTCTGTTTGGCCTATCCTTGCGACGGAGGATTGCGGTGGAGAGATCATCGGGGCTACACAAAACAGATATTACTTGCAATAACCATTAGCGTCATAAAAATAACCAAAGTCAAAAAGATCATGAATAAATGAAAATGGTATATGTATACAGTTAAAATCATATTTATAGTTAGATCAATTAAATTCAGCAGAAATAGCCAGTTACATACACTCAGACATGATGACAAGCCAATTTTTTTGCCTTTGATTCACAGTGGTATTTTTTAATGAAACAAAATCAGGACAATGAGCATTTTCTGTTCTAAATTAGCAAATATTCAATTATATGAACTTACCTCTTATTGTCTGCCATTATTACAAAAAACTCTAGTTACAATTCGTGAAATTACAATTTTTTGAAATGCCGAATGAACAATCACTTTTCTTTCAGTCCACCACTTTTGTATGTGCGTGACGTTGCCGTATTTCATTTGTTCATTGATGTAAAGTTAAAGTTGCCATGTTTAAATACGTAGCTCTATGGTAATCTAGTTCGTTTTCTACAACTTGCGGTAATATTATCGGTTTTGTCTATGTTTTTGAAACCAAAACCATAGCTAATAAACGTCAGGATTACCATCATTACAAAACTAATGTAGCGGAAGTACTATAATTAGCGGGAATCTAAAAAAAACATTTGCTTAAAAATTCGATTATCGCGCTACATCGTCTTTAGTTTTGTATTTTTTGTTTGTTATATTCTGTGTCGTTACAACAACAACGACAACAACTTTTAATCAAAATTTTAATATATACCTATTATAAATTTGATATGGGAAACATATTTTCGTGACCTTTTATTTCCTCATTTCTGACTTTACTGTAACCACGAGTACTTGATATTTTATTAGTTTATAATTTAATAGCTGTTCTCTCGCGACATCGTCGACGTTTATCTAATATATCACCCGTGTATATATAATAGGCTTCGATAAGTAAAATAAATAATTTAAAAAATCGGTTCAGTAGTTCTTCTATTCAATGCATACAAACAATTAAATATTTCATTTTTATAATATTAGTATAGATTTAGTAGTAAGCTAGTTCCTGTACAGTTCTCTAATATCGAATACAATAGGAGAAATTTAGTTTTTTCAAGTAACTAACTTGAATTTACTTCTTTTAATTTCGCAAGAAAAATGAAAAATGAAAGTAACAACAATAAAATTTTGAACGCCGACTTTAATGTATTACGATTTAAAAATTAGCTGGTAATAATAGTCTAACGTGCTGTTGATTACAAATGATAGGAATAGCACCAATACTTTCTTTCATTAATTTAAGGGCTCTTTGTTGGTCTCGATTTGATATTTATGAAAATAAATTTATACAAGATATTTTAGTTTCTAGTAGCATTTACTCGAAAGACAAAAACTCAATTTAAAACTTAGCATTCTAATTTATTCATAAGTAACACTTATCGAAGTAACATGATACCTGATGGCCTACCCATTTGTCATTGAACGAAAAATTTTCAAATCCTTGTTATAATTTTGTTGCTTCAGAGGCAGTGTCAGAACCTACCTTTATTGAGTCGTATTGCCATTTCAAAAATAAACTAAATTTGAGTTTCTGAGAAATAGAATAGCCCTTCAGGTGTCATATTAATACGTACGAGTAGTACATCATGTAAACTTATAAATAGTTTATTAAAAGTTGCCTTACAATTTGGGTTAAGTCAAGAAAGAACAATAAAAAAAAACTTCAAATTCAAACACAATACATCAAATTTCCACAATTTACTTTCAATTTAAATTCAAAATCTATTGAAAAAGAAACTGTAAGTTTATACAAAAAAAAATAATAAGTTAGTATTTATTATATTCTTTAATTGCTTTTTTCATCTCTGATTCTAAATTATTTCGATCCTTCTTACTTATTTCCATAATACTGTTAACGATAGTTTTCAAAACTTTCTGAGTTTCGTCGTGAATGAACAAGATGTCTTCATTACCGTAATCTCTTACATCGAAAATGTAATCTCGAAAAATCACATCATGTTGCAATGTAAAAACCTTATTCATCGCGTCCAAGAATTTTCTTCTATGATCTAATGGCTTGTCCATTTCTTCTACATACGACGCTAACACTTCTTGAATTTCATCTCGGTCTAATTTCGATAAATCTCTCAAATGTCTAGCTAATTTCCTTGTAAATTTAAAGCCCAACGCATCAACTTCATTTTTCAGAAGCCTACAATAATTTGACAACTTTTTCTTTGGGAAACCAGTAGATAATAAAGTCAAGAGGTTTCTTAAAAAGTCCTCAAATATTTTATTAGATCTCAAATCATCCTTTTGTACTGATAACTGGTCTCCAAATGCTATTCGGTGTTTAGATTGTATAACGTTTTGAAAACTTACACTATAAGATAATCTGATACAAGTTCCAGTTAAAAATAAGACAAGAAAATATTTTAAACACATTACTCTGTAAGATAAAAATTTTAAGGTTATTGAAAATATTCTTGCGGTCAACTGTCACTACAAAATAATTTCACGGTTAAATGCCTTAGCATTCTCAGAGTCATTTTATTTGCGTTGACGATAATTTTTACGACTTTTCTCATATTCTATGTCCGCCAATATTAATTTGTGTTTTATATCACTTATAACTTCATCTTTCTGTCTATAAAATTTGCCAAAAATGAATTCTTTGAATATCCACCGAGTTCGATCTCCTATAACATTTATTTCTTTCCTTCCGTATTTTTTTAGTAAATAAATATAATCGTCCATTTTAATTTTGTCATATATAGAGAAAATTGAATTCATCGCGTGAAAGAATTGGTTCATCATTGGCTTCCCACTGGATATAATGTTAATGAAATTCATTACATACTGCCTTAACTTTTTACCGGAATAAACTGACTTTTTCTTAACAAATCTAACGAAACGATCGATTTCCATTCTCATGAAAAACCCAGAACCCAGCCCGTCAAGGCATTTACCTAATATCTTGAAATACTTGTGGACCCTATTAACTTTGAAATTATTTAACAGGGCGTCGCAAATATGCATAAGGAAGTCATAAAACGGACCGCGAGGTATCACTTTCGTGTTAGTCTTAGTAGTTCTCATTTTTGTAGTGGTCGACGTGAATCTTGTTTTTATCGTAGTTTCTTCTGATTCACTAGCACAACTAGGGCTGTTTTCATCGATGAACACTTCACTATTAGTGTTGCATCTTTTTTGTTTCAATGTCTCCCTGTTTTCACTACTCTCAACGTCTGTAGACACGCCTCTATATAACGATGTTATCACTAACACAATATAAATAACTTCATACATTATAATATATTACAAGTTATTTATTATAATATGATATTAACATTACTTTTCTTCATTTGATTTCTTTGGCCGAACGAATGTCTCACATATTGCATAACCTGTAATGAAAAGAAAATAATAAAAAATCAAATAATCGTAATAATAAATGAAGAATCAGATAATACACACTGCACTGGAAATTCTTGTTATCCAATAGTGCTCATGTTTTGAAATGTTCATTATGATTAGAAAATATTTGTAATACTCTTGTTTTATACGTATACAAGAACGTAATTATGTACCAATAAATGTATTTTTTCTTAAAAAGAATCATTTTATGAGAGAGTAATGTGTGCCTACTTTAATTAAACAACCAACTGAAAGATATATAGCAACTATATCTTCTATCATGTAGAATATACTTTTAACCCGTTATATTTACCTGCCATAAACCTAATGTTATAACAGCTGCCAATAGTGGTTCATCCGTTGTTAGCATAATCAGTCCGAAAAGCATTGCATCAAATGTTCCCAAACTCCATTCTTCACCCCACCTTAAATATATAATACATTACCAATTATTTACCCTTATATAACCTCTTTACATCTTCTAATAGGCCTTTTAAAAGAGAACATTATAATAATGAGTCGAAACAGATGGGTATTGGTAATGAGGGCCTATAGCGAACGGTTTGCGACGAATCGAAACAAATGAAAATGTAATTGCGTTTTCAAATGCAGATGACAGATTTTTTAACCGACGTTCAAATAAAAAAAAAGAGGGTTATATGTTCGACGGCGATGTATTTTTTATTTAGGTTCAGTTCACCGATATGAAAGTCTTAGGAAAGGAGATTTTGTTTATTTACTCGATATAATTTATTCCAAATATAATTTATAGTCACATTATAAAGGAGGAAAGAATTGATTGCTCGTTTGCTTGGAATGAATAGGCTCCGAAACTATTGCGCTAATTATAAAATTCTTTTATCTACGGGAATCTAAGCAATACGCGGGGCACATAGGCTATAATTTACGCAGGCAAAGTCGCGGGGGAACGACTATTTAAAAAAAATCGATTCACAATTCAAAAAGAAATCGATGAACTTACCTACTTACATAAAAATATACATAGAAAATCCTCCTTTCCAAATTTGAATGAAGTCAAAATTCGCAATCTATTGTTTTTCGCTGATATAAACATATCATTTAAATATATAGATGATGTTTAATTAATCATATTTTGTTTTTTATAAAAAGGAAATTAGTTATTTGATTTCGATAAAATTTAAATCAGACGACCTCAGTGCATTAAGCTTTCGAATAAAAAAGAATTTTGAAAATCGGTCAACAACACGCGGGTAATCGGTGAACATACGTCGCACATATAATCATAACGTCTCCTCCTTTTCAATTTTGAAGTTGGTTAAAAAATTAAGAAATAATATGTATCTAAAAAGCGAAAGTCGGGCGGAGGTTTTCTGTAGATTATTATTGATTAAATAATAACTGCCTGACTCCAATAGCAGCATTGAATAAGTCGCATTTAAGATGAGTAATATTTCTTACTAATTTAAAGTTTGAAGTATATTTAAAATATTTAAAAGAAAATCTTTAACATTCTTTTCGTTGAAAAACTTGTTGTACTTTGAAATCTTTGAACAGGTCGTAAATTGTACTTTTCTAATTAGTATATAACATCTTCTTTATATATTAAGTCACTGTTTTTTATATATTAAGACATTACTTAGAAAATATAAAGAAAAATTCGAAACACACAACATTTTATATCGAATTATTAAACGTTAACGTATCTTCATTATTTTTATAGGTAATGGAGCAAAAGCGATGGAATAAAGTAGGTACGGTGCATATGTGATGCTGCCTTAATATTTGTAACCAATTATATTCATCATACCAGGTAACAGCCACACAGGATGGTGTATTATCCGCCGAGTCGTAGAGCAAAACACTAGTCGTGCCAGATTCCCTCTCTGATAACTCCACGTCCAGCAGACGCTCCATCACCGTCCGCTCGCTGGCAACCCAATTGAGACCGTCCAGAGCCTGACAATTAATTTTAAGATCCAATTTCATTGATCGTTATAACGCATGGTAAATTTCATTGGTCTATATGTGGGCTTTTCTTGAGGTGTTATTACGACTAATGTTAGTCGATATTGCACTCATTATATCGCCTCCAAGTGTTTTCTGCTTGCATCCGAAAGACGCGTACACTTTAAATGTCTATTTTTTTGAGTTTTTGAAACACCACCCTGTGCCGATATACAATACTCCAATAAAGATTGGCAAAGTGAAAAATACACCATTTTAATTATGTGCCGGTCGGCAACATGTTTAACTTAAGTGCCTTAAAGATGTAAATTATTTTACGTATTCTGGTTACAAGTGAATCAATGTGGAATTTGAAAGAAAGTAGCTGATCTATTATAACACCGAGGTACTTAAACAGGTAAGTAAACAGTGAGTAGGAACAATATTTTGTCTTTATCTTTAATAATTTTATTTTTATTTTATAGCCATCTAGTGAAAATAATACGTCTTTACATTTTTGGTCGGTATACCACAGGGATTCCTTAAATAGATGTATAACGACTAATGAAAGTCAACAGTCAATACCTAGTGCACTAGATATACAATCGAGAAAAATGACGACCTGTCGCTATAGCGTTCGAGAGTAAGGAAGCTGAGTCCTACGAATAAATAAGGCTTTTACTAGTACTTCACATACTGTTTCATTAAATTTCAATGACACATTAATAAAATAATAAAGATATCAAGCTCGCTAACATTTTTTTCCAGTATAGTATTGAGAATTTAAAATTGGTGAAATATAATAATTAGAACAAATTTTTAAATTAATCAGAAGCTAAAAAAATATTTGTTAAAAATATTTCTTTCGGCTATTCGGGTGGCTTAATGAAAATACACTCACTAGTAGCGAAAAGTAACAAGTGCTTGAAAAATGCGTATCCTTTAAGGTTCTGGGTAGTTCAGTGGTAAAAGCAACGACTGTCCGAATTGGGAAAAGTCGTGGTTTCGAGTCCCATCTCAGAGCACCTGGGGTTGGTGCATTTCTCATTAAGAATAAAGTTAAAGATAAATATTAGTAAAATAGGGTAGGGTAGTGTTAATTGAATAATAATTAAATGAAACTTATGAAAAAACTTACTCTTTCGAAGAATGCTGCAAGAAGTCTAGAAAGAGTTGCTTGTTTTGTCATAGCATCCGAATCATCTGTGTTAAACAATAATCTCAATTTAATATGTGCAATAATCCTTACTAATCATATTTTCTCATTTATAATATACGAAATTAAGCCGCTGAACTGATTTGGATAAAATTTGGTATGAATATTTAAAAAAAGCTGGGCCTGTCCAATACTTTAGGTATATATAATTACAACTATATATCATCGCAGAAATCATAAAAGGTGAAAAAAGTCAAAAAGCTCATAAAAGATGGGGTAACTAAAAAAAAAAGAAGTTAAGAAACTACTATTAAAACAGATTGTTAAAAACAAATATAAACAAGGTATGTGACATTATTGAAAATAAGTAGCAAGTTGTGGTCATCCTGTTAGGTGGATAATATAATAAAATGTATTTCTTAGAATCTGTTGACAAAATATGTTTAGCTATAGTAAAATAACGTAAATAAAATGCAACATTTTCAGGAATAATAAAAACGACGTAAACGACCTGCAATAAGTTGTCGTCGCAACCAATAAGGTTCTGTTACCCGACGTCACACATAAGCAGGATTGATCTGACTAAATGAAGTCACGATAAATATGTCAGATAGACAGATAAACTGTCTGCAAGTCATCAAGATGGCTCTAGTTTTGGTAGTTAGTTCAACATGAATTGACAATCATTCGGGGCTTAACTTTGACAGATAAATCAGGCTCTTAGTAACCGCAGGTACGTGCACAACTTTAATTTAACATTAAACTCTGATATAGTAACAATTGTATAAAGTTGATTAGTTACGCGGTAGACTCGCAGGACAGGAAAATCGTGCAAGTAAAGTGTGATCTAGACGGTTGCAAGTCAGTGTTCCAACTAAGGTGACCTTGGTGCATTTTTGATTTCCAATCTCAGATTGTATTCAAACTTTGATTTACAATAATTGCCTATAGACATTTAGCAATAAGAGAGGAGGAGACGGATTTTGAACTTCTTAAAACATACCTTGTGTTGAGCTCGACAGTTGATTGTAAACAATCCTGAAAATATGAATATATGTATTGGTAAATATAAATTAATACGGAAATCGTTTACGAATGTTTAAGGCAAAGACGAAGGAAATGCAAAATAATATACAATCTATAGCCTGACCTAACAGATAAAACTGAAATACCTTTTCCTTCCAAAACAATGAAAATAAGAAAGTCAAAAGTGACTCTATCATCTTGGTTACAGTGAAAAAGGAAATATTAGTGGGTTTTCGTATTCTTTTATTTAATAACTTGATAAATAATACCGTCACGTAAGTTGAACCAAAGTAGCGATTGCAATCTCCAGTAATCTGTGTTGTTATGGTTACATTTGCGTCTCACTCCCGCACCTCGATTGAGACCCGAAAATGTACATTATTGGATCAACTTAAATAAATGGAATATATACAATGAAAATCTCCATGTGTATCTATCTATACTAATATTATATTTGTTTGTTTACATCGAAATGACTCCAAAACTACTGGACAGAATTTAAAAATACTTTCACCTACGGGTAGCTACATCATATGCGGTGAACATAGACTATATTTTATCCTGAAAATCAGCAAATAAAGGAATGAAAATGGGAATGTAATTTAATATAAAGAATTTAAACGTTCCCGTATCAACCATTGCTATTATTCAGTTTTTCATTGTAATTATATCCGTGTCATGTGTCATGATATGTATCGATATCCAAATAAACAGTTCCCTAGGAACTACGCGGGGGAAGTCACTGGAGGATAGCTAGTACTATTTAATGTTATTGAAAAGAAATAATTTGTTCCTTAATTTACATCAAATAGGCTCTGAAACTACTGGACAGATTTTAAATATTTTTTTCACTTACGAGAAGCAGTCATACGCGGCTAGCATAGGCTATAAATTTACGCGTGCGAAGTCGCGAGACAACAGCTAGTTTAATATAAATCTGTAGAAAAAGTACTGTGAAATCCGGGAAAAATAATGTTTTTACCTTAACTGTAGTGACATCACTATTCGACACATTGACAATGGTCGCGGCGTCATACGCATGTCCTTGTCTTCGTCACTTCTGGAACAAATCAGTAATTATATAAGGAATCTAAATCTAACGGAAGGTCTGTCCAGCGTAACATTGAAGTATGCTTTAGTGCAAGTGTGCAAAGTTTAATTCACTAATATTATTAAGAAGTTAAGTTTCTAACTTTGTTTATAGGGGGTTATCGTCGGAAATACTGCTCCGATCATGACTTTTCTTTCATTTACGCTACATCACCCATGGGTGATATAAGCTTTAATTTACGCGAGTGAAGTTGCGTAAAAAAAAGATAGTATTTCGCCAATTCTGATTTTCCACGACGAATGATACGATTGTCAGCCCTGCGAATCTATAAAAATCCAGACCCGAATTTGAATTCATTAAGTGTAGAAGTTCTATTGATTCCATTTTTTTTTGTATAAAAACACAAAATAATATTGATTGAATATACACATGTCTCATACATTATATTCCTATGTCATTTCGAAACTAACTTCACTTAGGCCACGAAACGTTATTACCAGTAATGTTGAAGTGAATTCAGACACACGAGTGAATTCAAATTCGAGTTTCGATTTTTACAGAATCGATTCTGTAAACATTTAAACTTGAACGAAAATGCAACGAAATCTAGTGAGTAGATCCGCTACTGAGTTTAAAAATATTAACCCCAAATAGCACTTATTTAATAATGTAACTTTTTATAGACATAGTTTCCTAATTACGCTAACTTTGATAGAACTTTGAAAACTTTTAAGGTATGCCTGGGAAGAGAAACTCTCGTTTATCTTTAAATTGTTCAACCGAGAAAACCGCAGAGAAGAATTAATAGATTATGACGTCAATTTTCGGTTATTAAATCTTCCTGTTACAAAGTTTTGGGAGCATGTGACCTAAAATAACTGCGTTAACATAAAATTTATTAAAGGTTCTGATGATTTATTTCAGGCAAGATACAGTAATTAAGTTTGCGTCATAAATGTATACTAATTATTTATAATGCCACAGAAGAGCTTTTATTGTATGTATACATTTATATCTAGAACAAACAATAAAAAAAATCTAAAGTTAATATTAAGAGAAAATTCAATTTTATTGTTTATTTGTTTGCATCAAATAGGCTACTAAACTAATGGATCATTTTAAAATTCAGTTACCAACGGAAAGCTACATTATACGCCAGTTACATAGGTTGTAACTAAGGCGGGCAAACGGTTAGTATTATTAGATGCAAAAAAGTTAATCTGCCCATGTTTTGAAAAATGTATATAAGCTTAAACACAGAACATAGAATGTTCTGTGGGCTTAAAGTCCGTTGCCCAAACATCCATTAAATTTTATTTAATTTTAAAAATCAGTAATAACGCTTTAAGCTAATGAGAATTTTAATGGATATTTGTGCATCTGGGTGTTAAAAGGGTTAATAACGATGATATAACGCAAAGGTCAAAACCTACCTCCCATTAACGTAATGCGCGTAACGTTCTTCTTGAAATACTAGCAAAGATATGCCTACACCTCTGCATACACCTGGTATAACTGATGGTGGAGCACCAGTAAGTCTCTCCAAAGCCCAGCGGGTGACCAGCACTGTACTATAAGACAACCACCATGCTATACTAGCAGCTGCCCATCTATACCCGATGCTTTTATGGCTCACCAACCACGATCTCTTGACCTAAAATATGTAACATTTTTGCTAAAAAAAGTTAACTATTGAAAAAATTTCAGTCTGAGTCATCCATTAAAATAGTCCAGTGAAAATATTAACATGAGTAATAAATGATTACGTAATAACCGCCCTTGGCAATTCAGGACATGTAACATGAAATATCGGCAACTCTCACCTTTTTGGTGTGTTACTGAACAACTTTTCGAATAAACATCCATCAATCGACGTATTTATTAATAAATCTATATTTTAAAAGTGTAAATTTGATCAATCAAATGATCAATCTATACTGATATTATGAAGAGGAACGATTCCGTTTATTTTGTAATGGATAGGATCAAAAATAACTGGACCGATTTCAAAAATTTACATTTGTGAATTACTAGCAAATAAACAGCAACTATTATGAAATTAATATAAAACAAATATTTTATTTTAATGGTATTCCATTCTTTACTTGCCCTCATTATCACTTATTTCGACTTATTACTTTCTAAATATAGCCTTGTTAGCTATTTTGTGTACAGCTTTTTTGTTTTGATTGTTTTACCCAGTCTTGTTAACTTTTTGTTAACTATATACAAAAAGCAAAATCAAAATTCTTTATTCAGTCTAGGCTGTTACAAGCACTTATGAAAGTCAAGAGCTACGCCATCGGTTCGTAAATCTACAGCGGGAGACGTACCGAGAAGAACCGGCAAGAAACTCGGCAAGGGCTGCTTTTTACCCGGCTGCGCGACGCAAGGGAGGTTAATGTGTTTTCTCCCGGTTTTATTTCATACAGAGCGTCAAGATTGAAAAGTGACTTAATTAAATATGAAGTCACTTTCCATTACACACTATCAATGTAAGAGCCTCCTCTGACCCTCCAATCCGCATTGGGCCAGCGTGGAGGGTCATGGCCCATCCTCCTTAACCATCCATAAGGAAGGCCTGAGCCCCTGCAGTGGGGACGTAAAAAGGGCTGATGATGATAATGATGTAAGAGCAAATTTTGTTATTCAGAGTAATGTTTTCACCTCATCACTAGCCTATAAATATTTCTACTGCTGGCTCAGGCCTTCCCTTTGGATGGAGTCGTATAAAATCGAATAGGTAGAATGAGCCATGATGACCCACCACGCAGGCCCAATATGGATTGGTGGGTATTAATGCAGATGCAGCCGGAACCAACAGCTTAACGTGCCCTCTGAAGCACGTAGGAGCTCAAGATAATATATTTTTGGTCACCCATCCTATGACCGTCCATTAAGAAAGTTGCTTAACAACCGTATCACAGACCGAGCGCGTTAACCACTGCGCCATCGAGCTCTTTATCGTCACCTCACTCATCTCTTAATTTTATTTCATAAAATTTCTCAAACTCAAAAATGAGGTATGTTATTGGTAAAATCTTATATTTTGTAGGCTCCATAGTCCGTTATAAGTTCCATATTAACAATAGTCGTTATATCTATAACACTGTTTGATGCCTTAAATCAAAAAAAAAAAGACTATGCGTTCGCTTGGTTAGCCAGTCATAAATATTATAAAGAAGTTGTTGCTAACGGGCTCATGGCCTAAATACCACAGAGATCAATATACTAAATTAGTAGCAGCTTCGGTTGGTTTTTCGGTAGTAGAATATACAATTTTTATCTAAAAATAATCACGTAAAATATCGTAACTGCATTTCGCTAACTTTAGAGTAATAGTCAAAGATATAAATGCAGTTACGATATTATACTAGGTAGATTTCGACTTATCGTCCTACGTATAATATCATAACTGTATTTTAGCAATTGCATTTTACTAATTTAACACATTTCGTTGTTAAACAATGTAATAGAGCTGTTAATTTTCAAAACAAAACAGATTATACTCACATTTAAAATTATTAATGCTAGAACAACAGTGTAACTGGGTGGCGCTCTCCTAACGGCTTGCACTCTGTTCCATTCCCTTGCTAAAGTACTAGCTCTCCAATTAAAATTGTTTGAAAACTTCTCATCTACAGCACAAAAAGAACAAGCTTTCAACATAATGTTGTACATTTAAATGGCATTACAATAATTTATTAATATAGGATTTATTACAAACCTTCAAATGTAGAGTTATATTCGTTCCAATCTAAGAAAAAAATATCGTAACAACATTGTTTCCAATTTAACCATACTATGTTGATACTCTGAAATCAACACATTAACATGAAATCTTCGTCTGTTTCTTTTTTGTATAGAAAAAAATCACAATATAAAATAATGTCACGTTCAGACAATTATCGTTTGTGCTCGATCCCTACAGAGATCTTATACATAGTAAAAGAGCCAGCGGCCGAATTCAATACCATTTAAACAATTTCTAATACTTACTGAAACATTCAAAATAGTAGACTGGTTAGAACATTTTGGTCTTTATCTAAATGTTCTGCCCGAGTGATACATATGGACTACCGTCTAGCTTAATTGGTCTCCGTCGGATGTTTACTAGAGATATTTCGGGATTAAGAATTTTTCAAATACATAAAGTTTGCCGATAATTAGCTCTTAGACTAGCTATTAGTATGACTCTAGGGATTGCGCCCATTGATGGCATGGCACGACAATAATTTTATGATATAATTATTTTATAACTACCGACAGAATATTTCGACATCCCAAACACCCGCGCTACTATATTCAAAAAATACTTTAATCAGAGTATTAGATAATACCAGTGTACATTAGTTCTCTAGAATCCCTGAGAGTTAAGTAAGCTGTTACTAAAAGGTGCTATGAATTGGTAAATACGAACTGCCATTAGCCGTTAGGCTACTTTATACCGTATTTCTTTTCCATGTTACAGAGATTTATATATCTAATTAAAGATACGTACGAGTATTTTGTTTTTTCTTTTGTTTTAGCTCCTAGCTGAGTTTTATTATTATGCCTATTCATAATTATAATAACCAAAAACGCCGCAGAAGCACAATGGATATCACTGCAAAGGCAAAATCTCATGCTGTATTGTGTAGTGTGCGCAGTCCTTAATCAAACGCATTATAGATTTGTAAAAATTTGTGATTTTCAAAATTACTCGCTGCGCTGTGTCAAAATCTATAATAATATATGACGCATTCAATAGCCGATTCTGACGAATAAGATTTTTTATTATAAATAACATACCTTCAAAGCAAACGAAGAATAGACAAAAGCTTTTATAAAGTACTCCTCAGTCTCAGAAAGCGGCAATGCGAGACCAAGGAATCCAGCCTCGACGGCCAAGGCATGCAGCGTTGTGAACCATATTGACTGTAGATACACCGAACTTTTTAGTGTCAATAATAACAAAGTAACACACACTAATTATTAATAATTCATTCACTTAATTCTTACACATTCATTCGAAACGTAACGATATAGCACTAGCCTCGACAAATAATGGCACGACCCAGAAACGGGTATGATTTAGAAAAAAAAAAAAAACCACTAAAAGGTTCTTTAATTAAAAATACAAAGATTTTTATAACCTTAATATAATGCAAATGGCGATTTACGGTTATTATTCAAATTAATTAAGAATGAGATTTGCATTAATGAAATATGACTTCGGTGTTTTTATTCCAAAAAATATACTGCAATCTTTTTGTTGCCATGCTCAATAAATTTAGTATAATATAATTAACCGAAACATAACGTCTCTTTCATTGACAAGGGGAAATATTATTGCTTTTCACTTGTTAATGTAAGGTTTTTCACTAACAGATATATAAAAAGATATCCAACCTATCCTTTTCAGTCTTGATAAAAACAAAAAATTAAATACCAGTATAAATTCGGATCTTTAAACCTAAGTTTTTAAAGACATCTTCGTCCGGTCTAAAATAATCTGATTTCTAATATCCCCAGGGAAATTTAAAAGACAATGAATAAAAGATGAAAAGGGCCGATCGAGAAATGGATTATTACCTACAATATTTCATTAAAAGTAAACGATGTTTCGAATCAGTTAACGAGATAAAGTTCGTCGAAATATTTCAAGGTAAAAGAAACTTTTCAAAGTAATCTCGAATAACTAAATAAACTTCTAATTTCAACAAAATTTTAGCACAAACAGAATTAATATCATTTTTTATCTTTTTATATTATATTTAAATGTTATATAAACTTTTAAACTTTACCTAACTATCAAAATCTATCGCGTTAATACGCGTATTATACAATCTAATATTTAAATGTAGTTGTATCAATAAAACAACTTTAAAAAAGTAAGCAATACTATTTACGTATTTTAATATGTGTACAATAAATTTGTGCAAGCTTATTTAAAAAAAATATACAAAAACCTGTTATTTTAAGACATTAATGGTATAAGGTACCTACTCTACTCTAACATTATTTTATAAACCTCCGGCACGCACAACACGGCAACCACACGGCAACTCAATAATTAAAATTCAATGATATAGACTAGGTATTCCAATTTATGAGTAACATGGACTTCTATATGTTTTGTACGAACGATAAAACTTAGCGTCAAAAGACCAAACATTATTTGTATGTTTTATTTACATAATAATACAATTTACTTACAAAATACAAAGCGTCGGACAAGTACCCACTCAGGAGTGGTATCAATGAGAAATGTAATCCACCTCGACGCATCACACCTCTCCATTGCACTATCGCATACAGAGAAAGGAGAGTTCCTAGAATACCACCCCATATCTGCAATATATAAATGTTACGCTAAAAAAAATCGTTCACAACGGCTCTTATAGAAACTCTCATTACGCTTTGTGGTATTCACAGCATAACCACATACAAAGAGGTAAAGTAAAATTTGGAAAGAAATTTTTTAGGGTACCTCTCCTACATATAAAGTGAGGATGATTTTATTTTTCGTCTACTCCATAGTTAGAGGCGTCGTTGGATAGGTCTTTCAAACATTGCGGCTGTGAGAAGGTAGTTTTTCTATTAAGTAAATCGTTTGTGAGTTATTCAAACGTTATGGCAGTACTACCTATATACTTATAACGAAGTTAAAAGAAAAACTATCTCACTTAGTTGGCTTTACAAGTTTACGAGTAATAGTCATCATTATCATCATCATAATCAGCCATTTTACGTCCCCACTGCAGGGGCTCAGGCCTTCCTTATGGATGGTTAAGGAGGACGGGCCATGACCCTTCACGCTGGCCCAACGCCCATTGGAGGGTATTAACGACTGCAAATGCAGCCGGTACCAACGGCTTAACGTGCCTTCCGAAGCACGGTGTAGCTCGAGATAACATTTTTTGGTCACCCAACCCGTGACCGTGAGTCGACCATTTGTATTTACCCCGAAAATTTCGAACAATTTCATAGAAAACAACCAACTTGTTTTTTGTTAACTTTTTTATTCGATGCTACGGAACTCTCAGTGCGCGAATCTGACTCGCACTTAGCCGGAATTTTATAATGTTGTTTGGGAGAAATAAATATGATAATTATTATTAATGATAGAAAAATCAGATAAACTATTGCATTTTGTTAATTGCAGCAGAACAGTTTCCCTTTCATTATATTGTTACACAAATTGTCAGCCTTCCATTCCATTGAAGAGTGAGATTCATTCGTGGGCCTAGATCGAATTGCTGCGTAAACAGATGCAGCAGGACCTGGCAATGGCTAAACGAGTTCAAAAGAAAAAAATAGGTCCTATGATCGACAATTGCGAAAGTTACTTACCCTCTACGTCGCAACAGAACGCGTTCACCATTGTGCCATTGAGCGTAGCTCATTTATTATAAATGTCTCACATACAATTTTAACACAAATATACCATGAAACCTATAAGTACAGCTATTTTGTCCAGAGAATTGGAACGAGAAATATAATCTTGAAATGCAACTGTTAGACTTCTAAGTTTCAATGAGAAATATCAATATTGTAGGCATATTTCAATGTAAAGATCCCTAATTTATGTATTACCAATTTAACAAATTAAATTATAATACTGGAGAAATTATTTGTCTTTATCAATATGAATTGACGATAAATCTATTATAATAATAATAATAAATTTTTATTTCAGACCCAATGATCCATATTAAATTACAAATTACGGAAACATGATTACAAATAAAAATATTACATAGTATAATATGCCTTTCTTTTACATAGATTCAGGTGGCAATATGCAACCATCGTCTATATGTTACAGTTTGCACAAGTCTTTCGGCTAGACCCTTTACCACACCATTATCAGACATGTCGACTCTGGACATGAAGGATGCTATTCTCTTACGCTGAATAGCACTAAATGAATCGATACGACTTTCTGTGAACATTCCTGAAGTACTGCAATAACGTTTCAGTTGCATTAGATGTCGAAAGATGTTATTATAAGTTACACGTAGGCCATCATGTGCTTTCTTCGTGTATTCAGTCCAGAGTTGACACGTATAAAAAATTTGGCAAAAATATAATAATTACTTGGATCTTGTGTGGTTTTATGTGAACGTTTACATTAAAATCCCACTTACGAAAGTATTAATTGTCTACATTTCACAATTTACATACCAATTATTAATCAGACCTTAAACGAAAATAAATCAACAATAATCTCGTAATACTACAATTGTTCTTTTTTAGTTTTGTAAGGGTGTGCCGTACAACCGTTTATTTCCCTAGGTTTCAGCATGTAAACTTTTTGTCTTTTAATATTCAACATCATTTCCTTTTATTATTCATCTTTCATAATTTAAAATGTTGACTAATCAAATATACTCTCTGTGGATGTCAGTTCGTAAAAAATCATCTGTGAATAACGATCAGAGATCATCGCCATCTTTCATTCATTTCATTTTCATTTTACATGTAAAAATTAATTAATTTACTTGACATTGGCAGAATTGTGCGAAATGTGCAGATAAGCCATTAATTAAAAAAGAAGAAGAAGAATAACGATCATTGTGATCATCGCCATCTTTTATTCATTTCATTTTCATTTTACATGTAAAAATTAATTTATTTGCTTGACATTGGCAGAATTGTGGGAAATGCGCAGATAAGCCATTAATTAAAAAAAAGAAGAAATCAACATATTATCGTATTAAATCGTATAAATTTTAAAATAAATGTCGATAATGATCAAGAATGAGACAAATTTTATAACAAAGTAAATTATAATCTGTATCTTGGGCGATCCAAGTTTTTAACAAGAAACCCAAAAGGGGTATGTATTCTTTTATTTGGTAATTTTTAATTTTATATTTAAGTAAGATACGAACTGTTTTTATATTCATTTTGTTTTTTGTTAGTTTCTTTATTTTATCCCTATACAATTAATAAATCCATACTCAAGGTAGTCAGTCTTACTAATTGACCCAAGCACCGAACCCGTCACAGTTTGAAAGAGATTCTGCCAGATAAGTACGGGTAAGTAACTAACCTCCATGCCCCGTCGTATCCCAGCGCTGGGCATTTCATGTTCGACTCTCAATGATGTAGTAATAGAGGGGGAAATTGATGTTTTGCCCTTATAGTGAGCTTCTATGTTAATATGCACTCGAAGAGAGCCTACCTTGTGATTATCCCTTTCTACGCTAGAAAAATACAAATAAATTAAATTCAATAATATTAAATCAGTTCAGTAGTGTTAGAGTTAATTCATATGACGAAGACACAAAACTCTTTTATTTGTACACACTTATTACTTGGTTACCATATACCATATACTCATAAAATGACAAATATTTTCAATAATTCAAAACCATTTGAATAATTTTGGACATTTATTATATGCTAAGAAGCTACTATTGACTTTACAATAAACAAAAAAATCAATTAAGATTTAACATGAAAAGTTTTTTAGTACAAAAATTATAATAATTTGAATTTCTCAGTTACTTACCGAATTTTAACGAGTAACGTTTGTAGGTATGCGGTATTAGTCGTATTGGTCGTAGTAGTCAAATAACCGACTAAGAAAAACCTTCTAAAATGGTTACTCTTCCAAGTACCCCGCTAAAAAAAACAGAAAGCACAAAAAATAGTGCAATATTTGAAACGAAAATTACGCATAAATTAGCCTCAAATTATAATATCCCAAATGCTGGGGTATAGGCCTTCTCTGCACATGCATCAGGAACCAACAGTTGAACGTGATAAATGAAGCACAGAAAAACTCGTGATAATATGACCGGCACTTTCTAACGTTATTTAAATTCGCAGTTACTAAATACTTCTGTTCAGAATACAGCGTCGAACGCAACGTTGAACACAGTTCTGTCATAACGTTAGAGGCGGTTAGTTTCAATGAAATAAAACCTACTTATTAATTTTCTATTTGATTGAACCTTATGCAACAACGCTTCTGCATTCTATCAGATTCTATGCTGCAGTTTTACAGAATCCCTAAGCATCTCTTAACAATAGTAACTTAACCCACACGACAACGACACTACATGGTCCCATAAGTAGGTATCATTTCCAAATCAATATCAGTGCGCACTCGTTACTTTTGTTTCTTTCACCTGTTTCTATTATTTGTTTGGAAGTCACCTAATAGGGTTGATGACTGGGTAAAAAATAAAAGCAATTCTATTTATTCCATCAGTCAGGTAGTAGAAAAATAATAGATACAAAAGAAATCATGTCTATTGTCTCTTGTTCAAGTACCAAGTACGTTCAAGCATGCCCACAGGCACGGTGACAGCAATATAATATAGCAATATAAACTTTTTAATAAAGTAACATAGATTAAAGCAAAGGATAAGTATAATTAAAATCACAAACCTTAACGCGATGATCGCCTGTTTTCCTTAACGTTATTGGCAGAGGTTTTAAAACTCCATCCATATTAACATACGCTGAATAGGTGCTATTTCGATCGATAGAAACAAATTCAGTTAAATTCATGTTACAATCATACCTGAAATATAGATTTTAAAAAAATCAAAGCCAATAATTTACATTAGGAATTAAGAATTTATAATGTTAGATGTTACATTTTATAGGTTTTAATGGTCGAAATATTCCATAAAACATTTCTAATAGGCATTGTTAGGTATCACAGAACTTAAAGTAGCTAAATTATATTGTAATTCAGTGATTCTCAACCGGTGGTCCGCGGACCCCTGGATGCAGCCCAAGTGGTCCGTGAAGCCTCATTAAATTTTACTTTATAGAAATAATCAATTATACATGGTAATTTTATGCAAACTTATAATAATATTCTTTTATTTATACTTAGGTAAATACAGCATATTCAACCAAGTGGGTCAATGGCTTTTTGTATCTGGGAAAAAACTGCCATAGAAAATAGAAAATGGTCCCTAATGACTAAAATATTAAGAGCTACTGCTGTAATTAATTATAAGGTATATTATTACATTTTACATTATATGGTGTATAATTTCTTTGCTCATCACAGAGCTACTATAACTCCGAACGTCTCGTATGATGCTCACAATTGGAATATAAAAAAATGTTTCTGTGATTGGAATAATTACTATGGATAAGGAAATAAAGTTAAAATAAAGTATTAAGAAATAAAGTTAAAGTAGAACTTTAACTTTATTTCTGTAAAAATTCGTGTTTTCTAGCAAAAATATTGTTTTATATGGGTGCGCTTCATTTGTTATAGTAACTTTTTATATAATTTCAAATCAATAACGTTATTAATATTTAATGAGCATATGAAATATCGACTATTATCATAATTTCGTTTAAAATAACACTTCTAAATAATGTTCATTTTGTTTAATATGTTATATTCAAAACGCCAAAAAAATATTCATATAAGACTATATTTGTATAACGTTAATTTGTCTTAATTTTTGTTTCATTCTATATATTACTCTAATAATATAATATTTTCCTCATTAAGTTCAATTATTACACCTTACAAGTAATATAACTTTTGATTAATATAAGAAATAATTGATATAACCTTTATTTTATATAATTTTATTATAATGAATAAAATGATAAAAATAAAATATTCCACTATAACATAATATTATAACTTTCAACTTTTTAAGATATATTCAACTCGATCTGATTAAGTCCGAAATCTCTGTAACAAAACGAATTAATATTATTTAAATTCCACATATGTTGTTCCATACAGGAACAGGAACTCATCATTAGGTTAGGTTAAGTTGGAACTGTGACCAAAACAAAAGCGAACCGAGCGAACGAAGCGAGTGTGCCGCGCCAGCGGCTGGCGAGCGCCGTTTGAATCATTCATTAACCTAACGTCTATTGTAGATTCTTAAGGAAGAAAATAAATAACCCTAGTAAATAAATTGAGTAAATACATAAATACACACACATTATAGCACGCACACACGATTGATACATCACCTCATAGGCCCTGTCATAATACCAGCGTCGTTAGAGTGATGAAACACAGTAGCGACATTATCTGAGACCGGGTTCTAATTAGCACAGTATAAACACACATTTATATTAGGTTTTTACCTATGAAATTGCCGTTTTTCATGAAATAAATGAAGCGTATTTTTTTCTATATTTTTTACCCATGCCATCAATGCATCTTTGCCAACGCATTGGTAGCTTATTGATGTTATTTTATACTTTCTTGAAGAAATCAGCTGGACCGGACGCAAAAAAATCTTCAGAGGCATTTTTTCGCTTCTACAAAGCGTATTTTCATCAATGTTTAGGCAATCAACCCAAACCGCCGACCTAATTTTTTTTTATATTTACCACAAACACCACATAAGTTTTATGTAAATATTTTTTTATTAAAGAAAATTATATTCATATTTCTTTTTTATGTATGTATGTTTTAAGATATTACTTTTTTATATAAAATTATATGTTTTAAAATTATATTTTCCGTTAATATATGAAATAACCGATATATTAAACAAAATTATGTTATTCGAAGGTAAAGGTTATAAATTTAATGTATTTTGTTATTATGCCATATATTACGCACCCTTGGCTAATATTATTATTATTAAAGGCTGGTGAATAAAACCATTGGGTATTAAGGATATAAACTCACACCATAAATAATACAAATTTTAATAAAGCTGCTTATGATCTTGAGATTGTGTCTACATAAAATGCTTCCAAAATATTTTTATTAAGATTTATCGGATGAATGGAATAATAGTGACATATTTTTCCGGAACAGACTACTTATACAAAAACTCTGAGGGACAATGGGAAGCCTGACCGGATATTTACATAAATTATGCTTACCCTGGACTTTTTATGTTACAAAAAGTTGTACAAAAAAATTTGGCCGCTACGGCTTTTAATTAAAAGTAATACTCACGATATGTCAGTACCCATGTTAATCTCAATTGGTAAAATACATTGATATTTTTTTTCTTTTGTCGACTGAAGTATTTCAAATCCCCCTTCAAAAGTGTATATTGCTAACACAAAAGTCAATGTATTCTGAAAAAAAAATGGAAATACTGTCGGAATTATTTGAAAGAAAGAAATTTTATGTCACTTCGCAAGTCTCTTTTTTATATTTCCACGCATTTTACGATTTTTCAAAGTATAACCACTTTGAAAACCACTTTTCAAAAAATCGTCGAATTCATTGAGCTTTATCCCACTTACCACCTACTCTATGAGAGTAAAAATACGTAAGTTAGTGCATAACAGAGCAATAAAATATATACAGTAGAAAAAAGTATAACTAGAAAACATTAATACGAAAATTGTATGTTATTTTAGACATGCTTAAAATTTACTATAATAGGACATTAAAACTAATGAATAAGCGAATCGTCTTTTTATCTCGACCATTTATCTTGATTTTGAAATTCCGTAGAACTCCATCTTGTTTGACAATTCGGGGCGAGAGCATTCCACAGATAGCTATTGGCATGACAGGGATTTCCTGTTTGATTTGACAACGGCACAGTAGTAACCTTTTCCATGTTTGAGATCGCATAAACCTACCCCAACTAGACATTGATACCCTTTAATATCAGTGGAGGCGACACAGATTACTAAAGATCTGGGAACTAATTGTCTAACTTTAAAATCTATCGCTATCTCTTCGGTTTGAAAGATGTTGTATAACCATTGCTTGTTTCTGAAGACAGTTGAAAAAAAAGTATTTGTATTATGCAGCAATGGTTGTGCAACACCTTTCAAACTGAAATCGATTGCAATAGATTTAAAATTAAACAATCGACGGGCTGGTTTGCTTACGAGAAAGATGTGAAAATCAAAACGCTTCAATTCTTCGCAAAAACTCTATTGCCCACATAAACAGGTGTCATCAAAGGGTTGTCAATAACATATACAAATTAACCGCGTATGATATAGCTTCCGTAGTTCGTAGATGAAAGGCTTTTCATGATCGGATCAGTATTTCCAAAGATTTATCACCTACAAACAAAGTTAGTAACTTTCCCTTTATAATATTAGTAAATATAGTGTTACACCCAGTTGCATAAGGTGTTAAGAACACCTTATGCTGCTGGTGCGTTAAGAACTTTTTTTAACGTTTTGGTGAATATGAAAAAAAAATTACGAACCGTTCCGTACGCCAAAACAAATTCTCCAGGTTTCAATTCATTAACACTTGGTGTGATCACCAGATCAGGTAAACCTAAAAGCATAAAAACAGCAACGTGACAAACATCGATCTGCAATCAAATTAATTCTTGTTATCTATTAGCAATTTTGGATTAAATTGACATAAGTGAAAACTAAAATTAAATATATTTTTTTGTAGAAAATAATATGAAGTATTGAGTTATACTTAAATAATAATTTTATATGTACAGGGAAAGCTAAATGATAGAACAAATGTGAAATTTTTGTGTTGGAAAAGTTTGTTCTCCTTCAGTTTATTCGATTCACGCTTAATATTTTTTCTTGCTTACCGAACTAAACCACCAAAAATGTGGCTAGCTTGGTTTATTAGTTTGTAAACAAGATTACTTAGCCATTTTTATTTTTAGCGGCTATTATCGCTAGCAATTACAAATAATGAAATTTATCCGCAGATCTGCCTAAAATCGTCCTCTAATTTCAAAATTATGAAGTGCAAAAAACCAAGCCAACTGTGTGTATTATAATAGTTTGATCTATTACAATAAACATTCGTTAATAAAGTTCAAATATGACGCGTTTAAGCGAATCTACTTTCATGACATGACGAAATTTAATTTTGATTTAGTTGTAACCTACTGTTAGATTTATTATTTTTATTTTTAGATATTTACATAAACTCAATTGAAGATATGTATAAAAACATTACATACTATGAATTGTGAACTGACATACATTGTATAAAAATATTGTTATATATGGCTAATAAATAAATTGAAAATTAAATTATAAATAAGAGAGCTCCCAGTTGCACGAATCTCCATTAAATTTTTCATTAGTACATTAACGATACTATTTTTTTAATTTGGAATACTCATTAGAACTTGATGTTGTCATTAAACCTTAAAGGACATTTATTTAATTCGGTGAGTCGCTTTCTTCTTCACGATCGAAGACCGTTAAGAATAAGTCTCATTAGACTTATTTGAGAGTACACGATGTGACGTCACAACCTGAGTGCTATGTGTAGTACTCTATTTCACATCAGGTACATATACCCCGTGCCATTTTTCGGTTATCAATCATGCCACGTTGCCGGTCGCCGGATAATTGATCGGCTTTCTATTACCCGATAGTTGTCGTGAAAATATTTGCGAGTAGGGTGGTTTACCTTTGGGTGGTGCTATTTTAGGCTGTAACCACATCTGACAGGGGCCCGCCAAGTCCGCACTGTACATGCTGTGCACACATCCGGCGGCGAGAGTTCTACAAGCAAGGAGATCACCGTTCTGAGAAAAAGAATATTGCACATAAAATAACACACAACTTACAGAATTACTTACAATTTCTGGTCTACACGATTACTATTTATCTTCAATAGATGTGTTTTACGGACAGCCAAAACGATTAATGCAGGCGCGATACACAATGCGTGGGAAGTGGTCCCGTTGGGGACCGTTACCGCGCTTCGTTCCCCCGCATTCATGGACATCACTGAGTTTCAGTGGGTAGGCCCCTACATTTTGACCAGCCCCCACTCTGGGGGTCGGTTGGCCCCACACAACCCGTGGATCTCGCGCAGGGTGAAGCGGGTAGGCGTAACGCATTGCTCGGAATCAAAAAAGGCGAGATACTCACGATACACAAATATTCATTTTTCAGTACGTCCATTAGAAGATATCCGGGCATATTTCCATCATACTTCGGTCGCTCGCTCAGGAATCTCTTCGGCACGCATACGTTTTTCACAGCAATGTCTGTCTTTGGACAGATGCACGACGCGCACCGAACACACACATTATTCTGCGCCTTGTATCCACGCGCACACTTCACACATACCACTTCTTTAGATGGTGAACCGTCTACATTTTGGGTTACTACAAATCAAATGACATAATTTACATTTATTCGACCGAAGAAATTTAAGCCTTTATTATTGAAATAACTAGGATGCACAGATTGCTGCTTATTTTTGCCGCTCTACATATTTGCGATATGAAAGTAAATGCGTAAGTTTTCCACCTACTAGGATCTACCCTGGGAAGTAATGTCAAAGTGTGGTTGCCTACCCGCAACAGAGTAGGTACCCTGGAGTGGTGAGAAGCATCCAGCACGAAGGGAACCGGCCCCATTCTGACTTTGGAATAAACCTACTACGTAAAATTAACTTTGATTTGGTTAACATTGGAATCAATCAAAATGCAGGGCAAAAATAAGGCAGGGCACAATGCCCTGCCTTAATATAACTACTAACTTACCGGATATGTAGTCACTCGGGCATTTTCTGCATATAAACCTATTATTTGCGATCTGACATTTTCTTGGCACACACGACGAACCATCAGCTGATACCACCTCCGTTGTGTTGCATTGTTTACAACGAGCTATGCCAACTGGTATACTATTCTCTTCACAAGAACATGAGAAACCTGTAAAAGTCAATTGGTCTCCCCTTATCATTTGAGTTATAATGTTTGTCCCCACTGCTGGTGCACACGCTTTATGGATATAACACCACGTGGTACCTATGTGGATTGATGGCTATTAACGGCTGCAAAAAAGCAGGAAACACCGTCCTAACATGCCTTGTGAAGCACGGATGAGCTAGAGATTACATATTTTAAATCTCTATACTTAAATTGGGCTCTATATTGAGAATTTAAGCAATAAATTAGAGAAAGACAATCACCGATGATTCACCATATATAGGAAGAAACGCTATATGTTGGTGGACAGTTGCACAGGTGGACAGAGGTTTTTTGCCACACTACAAATGAATCGTGGCGTAGCGTGGCTTATACGTATCTCTGTTTTGCGCTTTTGGTGTTTACACTCAATGCTTAGTTCAGATATATTCAAATAATTAACCCACAATTTATTATGGCAAATATTAAAGTGTGATATTTCAAAGTTTTCTTGCTGGTATCTATTAAAATGGCTAAAACTAAGTCATAATCTTAAAATGCCCATAACCGGTTAATTTACCCTTACCAGCATTAATTTGCTCATACGAAAGTTCTAAGTATATTAAGGTGCTTACCATCAACAGATGCGACCATAGACACATTTACTGGACACGTTTGACACGTCATTAAGCTTGGATCAAAGTATTCACTTCTTTTACAAGTTTTCACGAACCCATCCACGTCTACCGGAATCATTAATATCATTATATAAAACAAAATAAGCAGAAACATCATGTTTTCATTTCTTTATCAGAATAGTCCTTGTTTGTTTCTTATTTTGGATTAGTAAGTAATAATATTTACTAAACACTATTGTAATTAGATCCCTATTTTATGGACGCTTTGACAATTCCCAAATAAAAATAAATGAAATCCGTTAATGAATACAGCGTGACCGTTCGCCGTTTGTCTGTTTACATAATTCAATACCCCGTTGCTAAGATACCGAGCTTAGAAACGGCCATTATAATTTCCCGGCGATAACTCAAATCCCTTTACAAATAGACGATAACACCATAAAAGAAACACAAAAAAACGTTTTCAGTTGCACATCGAGAATATTTAATTACTTATTTATCATTACATATTGTGCCTTTAAGTATTTTTTTATTTAGGGTTGTTTTAGTCTTAATTAAAAGTACTTATATACTAAATTAGATATAGTAGATAATTAATTTGTAAGTAACAAATAAGGTTGCCAAACTGGACTCTAAAGAAGAATATCATGTAGGCATACTCTAGAATCTATAACTTAAATAGATGACGCTAAAATACTCTTTTTACACGATGTTTATTATACTAGTGCCAGTCGCCCATATGATGCATACCTATTACACTGATAAATAGTATTTTTGTTAAACAAAATCGAGTCGGTTTTTTAAACACTACTATAACATACCTACCCGCATATAAACCTCATACTTAGTTTTGTTCAATCACCTTCAGTTTTCGTTAAACATAAACTAAATTGATTGCGCGAATTTTGCTTATCGACGTATGTTTCCGATATATTAATATTGAAATTAAAGCGGTTTTTTTTGTGATTGTCGTTTCTGTACATCGTAATAAGATGCCCAGAGTGTGTGTAAACTATCCTGATAACTTTTGTTACATTTGCAGTTAACTTACTATTAAAAGTCAACGTCATAATTTGACACCATTAGTTAAAAACTGTTATTTTAATCATTTTAGCTTTCCGGTGCGAAATTTGGACAAAACCTGGACTCCTAGTGTTTGTTGTGCACAATGTGTTAGTTTATTAACATCATGGGCTATGTTAGTTTATTAACATCATGGACAGAAATGGAGATGGTTTTTGTTACTTGAAACAGAAATTCCCAAAAATCAGCGATGCCAAAATAAAAGAGCGAATATTTGTAGGACCACAAATTAGAGATCTACTGTCTGATAAAGAATTTGAACAAAAACTTAATCCGATCGAAAAATCTGCATGGACATGTTTTCGAAATATTGTTTGTAATTTTCTTGGAAACCACAAGGCCGAAAACTATGAATAGTTGGTCAACAACCTCTTATCAGCTTACAAGAATATGGGATGCAGTATGTCGCTCAAGATACACTTCTTACACTCTCATTTGGATTTTTTTCCTCAAAATTTAGGAGCCGTTAGTGATGTACACGGCGAGCGATTCCATCAGAATATATCCAACATGGAAAAACGGTACCAAGGCAAGTGGAGTCCGAACATGTTGGCTGATTACTGTTGGACACTCAAAAGAGATGTACCTGACGCTAAATATTCCCGAAAATCCTGAATAAAAGTCAAATGTTAGTTGTTTTTCTTGATTAAATTCAATTTTCAACCATATTTACTTAAAAAAAAAAGTGTATTGCAGTTGCAAGAAAACTGAGGGTGACTGAAACTTTAAAAAAATGCAGATTATTAACAGGCTAATTGTAGATACAAAATATCCCATTCAAATTAATTTAACTTTCATTAAGGTCATTTTTGTCAATCAGTGTTATCGTAACTATTTTTAATGCAAAATAAATTATTCTCTTTTTTACACTCGTAAAAAAGAGTATTTTTTCTTTTTAGTTTATTGTTCTCTTTATTTATCTCGTTGAAATCAGATGAACTCTATTTCTACTAATATAAGTTGACAACCCTAGAATTAATAGCTGTTAATTAATATTCCTTAATTAAACAACTCTCGAACAGGATTTTGTTTTCGTTAATTGATAAGTGCGTATAATTACAATATAAAAATGTACCATTTTGATTTTAATCTTACTGGAAAAGACCTTCTCTTATTTAAATCAAAAATAAACTTAAAATCCTGCAGGCATTTATAAAAGAAAGAATGATTTACGACCTGACAGCGTTATAATTACCTATAATATTCCGTTTATTATTCAAAGTATAATTACGCATCATTTAGTATTCCTTCGGTGGCAATTAGTAATTTCTATTGTTTCTTCTCGGGAGATGAGATATTTTCGTAAAACGCTTATTGGATATTCTGTTAGTGTCAATCTTTTGTGTTATGTTTCCTTTCATCGGGACTAATAAATACCTTATTGAAGAAATATGTATTTATAGGACATAGGTGTATAGGTAAATATTAATATGGCTTAAATGTTGCAAATTATACATTTGACTCATGAGTTTAAGAATAAAATAATATTTGAAGTCCACGTACCAATCTAAAGCTGACGAATTATAATATGTATTAAATATTTAGTTGAATCAGGGAGTTCTTCTGGGATTCCATTGCAATCAAAGTGTCGCCATCTTTAAGGTATTATGATGACTAGATGGCTTACCAATAAATTAAAAACCTTCATTTTAAGTCGGGCGGTTATAATTTATGAAGCTGTTTAACCGCATTTGTAGTTTTTTGTTCGGTTTTAATTTATTAAATAAATATATTATTGGATAACTTAAGTTAACATCTTTATCTTTTTACAAAAAGCTATTATATAATATGACTGCAAAGTCAAAATCATTTGAATTATCTAATATTTTTTCCCTACCACTCGTTCAGGACGTCTTTTGGTTAATAAGAAGAACGAGCGAGAAACTCACTACTTCTAATAGGAACAACGACATTAAAAAAAATAATACATTATAAATAGAGAAAAAAACTTATAATTAGACCATAATAATTAAATAAGTCAATATTTAAGTTAAAATTAGTATTCCGAGACTTTTCTTTCCAATTTCTCTGTTTATGATATTTCACACCATTTTATCTTTATTATTTTTAATTTTTGCATTTAAAAATTACATTTGGCTAAACTACACACTTTTTAAACAATTTAGAGTCATTTCGTACATATTCTTAGACGTCCTCACTTGTGTTATAATTACGTTCATCATATATAGGTAGTTCATGGATCCTTTTTCTGATTTTGTATGTTCCTGGTGCAGCTCACACACTAAAAGTTATACATAGGATTATTCATAGTATTTTTTTTTTGAACAAAAATGTTATTGACTTCTGTACAATAAACATCTATATACAAATAATTGGGATTACTTTTATGTTTCAAATTACATAATTTAACAAAACTTTTCTATCGACTGATATCTTTTAATAATCTGTTGAAAGTAGTATCAGATCTCTAGAAATGTTACCAATATATGTGGACGAAGTAGCAGTTATTCTATTGGGCTCCTTAAACATAAGTTATCGTGGGTTCCTTAAACATATGTGCAAGATAATAGGATATAAAAAGATTTGTAAGTCTTGTACACGAATTAGAGTTTCCTAATAAACCAACATCATAATCACCAGCAATCACTAATAGTTTGTTTTTGCTATATACCATTTTTAAAGTGACATCTATAACTATTTCAAAACCTCCTCAAAAGGAGGTCTATATAACTCAGTATAATAAGCTGGTTGAGCTCTATGCAGGTATTTTCTTTTATTTCTTCAATGGATAGGCTCACTATATCTCTACGTTATTTAAATTTAAACCTTTTATTTTATAAAATTGTGCCACCAAAAGTGCTTCCATGAAGAGCTTTTTTCGAATGAATGAGCTACCAACCAGGTGATTATTGAAGATAAAAATGCAATTATAACTTGTTAACCAATGGTCAGTTATACAGAAAATATCAATATTATTACAGTTCATGAATAATTCCACTTCTAACTCTTTACTCAACATTCCTTGTACATTTTGGTGCACCAGGTTGACGACTGAAAACTCTTAGTTCCATTATTTTGTCTATTCAATAGCAGGCAAGAGGAATCCTTTATCGTCTTATAAAGTAATAAGACTAAAGTCTGCAGACTAAGAGATCCCATTTCTGATAATAAAGAAGGCAATAATGACACCACTACGTGACGTCATGTATTTCACGTTTATAATAATCTGGAGGCGAATTATGTCAGCATTTCATCTGACCTAGCTAATTTGTCCTACTTATTTTATTATAGTCTCTCCTGAAATGTGAAATATGGGACCCCTACATTGTCTTATTTTTGTTTTGGAGGACGTTTAGCTTGAATAGCAGCACCGATAAAACCCGGGCCTCTTAATGGAATGTTTTATGGCCCCTAAACATTGGTGGATATTGTCCCTTACATTTAATATAAATTTATTACAGTACATCTTAAAATTGGTGTCTTTAGCAAATCTGACGGTAGAACCGTCGAGCGTCTCACGGAATTATGCGTTAGTATGCGACGTATCATCCGTCGAGTATGAAAGGCTGAACATCATATCTAACATAATATAATTCGTACGAGTTAATATGGTTATTCTATTTGTCTTTCTACGAAAATCAATGAAAAGTGATGATGGCTGACTTTTTTTGTCTTTCCGTCAGCTAGATTATTGAAATATATTAAACACTTATTTTTTGAATTTTTACATAATCAAATAAATTACACGGCGATACATTGAGTTAAAATGTTGTGACGTAGCGAGCTCCCCCTCCCCAACTTTAATGCCTGTTATCTAAGCTATTAAGTAAAATTGAAGCAAAAATACGTATCTAATAATTGTCTATTGTCTACTGGATGGACGAAATAGAATTTATTTTTTTACACAAGCAATATCCCTAGCCATAATTTTTATAAATCGTACGAAATAACACTTAATTTATTATTCTGAAT